TTCTTTGTTGTTAATTGTTGTGTAATTTGTTGTCGTGTGCAATGCAGTCAAAATCGGGATTTTGATCGTAAAATCGTAGGATTTTAAGATTTTACTTAGTGATTCCGATCCTGCTTTTACTATAAAATCGCTGGACCTTAAAATCGTTCAAAATCGGGATTAAAATCGTTAAAATCATAAAATCGTACCAAAATCGGGATTTTGATCCTATGTGAACAAAATAGGCGGTTTGAGCCCATTCAAAAGAAGTATAATTGTTTCGATGGAAAGGGCAATGAGGGGAATCTTCTCAGATATTCTTCCTATTAAAAGAACATTTGAAAAGAATAAAAAACAACCTTATTAGGATTCGGTCAACCCCTTTTCTTTCCCTTGTTTAACTCATATGTACAACAGTTGTCATAATATTGTAAGTACGTAAGAATTAACATCATTATTAACAAATTAATTGATTAATAAATATTTGTACCTAACCAATGACATTAATGATTTTATTGAAGTTCACTTATTCTTAGTTATAAATTATGCTTAGTAGACGTGGTCGGAATCCTACTTTGAGTTAAACTATCTAGATACAACATGAAAAATAAGAGCCATATCTAATGAGCTCTATCCCTTCCTTATAAATTATTTTGAGTTACACATTAAATAACAATTAAAATGATGATTTTGGAACATTAATCTTGAAAATTATCACTTTAAATGTTATATATCTTTGTGTTATTAATGCTTTATCTTATTAATATTATTATATGTTAATTTATATATGGTACTTAAAATCCTACGATTCGATTTTACGATTCCGATTTTACCCGAGTTTTCGATTTTAAGTAAAATCCCGATTTTGACTGCTTTGTTCGTGTGGGGGTTTGCTATGTTGCAAATTGTTAATTGTTGTTGATTGTATGTAAGTATTGGCGGATTGCTTATTTGTGAGAATAAATAATACAACATAAGTAAATTTGGATTCAAGAAGTGCATAGAAGGTTTGTGTTCATTTTTGGGCATAGTTTGTATGTATGGTAGTTCTTGCATGATTCAGCTTGATGTTATTAGGATCCACAGATTTATGTTGTGCTTGGCCATTTAAAGAACCAGTTGATGCTCATGATGTTCACGCTATTACGAAATCATCAAATATCCCATTGGTAAGAAGATACTTTCCATCCTTTGGTAAACACTTGTAAAAAGCAGTATCTTGAATGCTTTCAACTCCGATGACAACGCTGTATTTGATGTTGTGTGTATCCACTCCGATGACGACTCTGTATTTGAAGAGTATCAACATAATTGCATGGAAGAGAATGTCAATGAAGTGCAAAGAGGACAAGAAAGAGAAGTGTTTAATCTCAGTTCAAGTCAAACTCGACTACTCGAGAAATGGATGTGCAACGTGATGGAATAGGAAACAAGTTGTGGGATGACTTTCAAGCGAGACTTATTTGATATTTAATGTTTTAATAATACTTATTTGATTAAAATTTTATATTTATATTATGTTTATTAGTAATTTGAAAACAATATGATTCAGATTAAAAATTATAATCATGATTAGAGTTGTATAACACTCAATGAAAAAATTGTGGTAGTCAAGTACTAGAAAACAATATGAAGTAACTAAACAGGTTTTCATTTTCAGAATTTAGTTTCAGAACTCACCAAAATTCTCAACTAAACAAGTTTTCTGCAGGTTTTGATTCTCAGAAAATGACAGCTTCGTTTCCATTTTCTTTTGTTTTCTGTTGGGGCATCTATAAAAACGGAATGACAAGTGAACGACCATTAGTTGTTGCCTTAGGGATGGTTAAGCCAACGAAGACCTAGAATCTGCAGGGCTCAGGTTGCGACTGCAACTATTGCTATGGCTACTGTGGCCTATAATATCATATAATATTCAGTTTATTAATCTCGTATTTGGGCCGTTTCATGACCCAAATACCATGCTCATATTAGCTCAGCGACTAGGTTAGGAATTTCTCACAACTTAAGTGGTTACTCGACTATCCCCTTGCCTTTCGATGTTTGTCCTGCTTGCTCTTTTTCCTTATAAAGTCAATAAACTCATATCCAATCACTCAGAACAAGTAGGGAATCAACACAATCGATCATCATAATTCTCATCACCATACAAATTTCTCCATACTTGTCTCTAATTCAATCTCACAATGAAAAGGAAAGGACTTCACAATGAACCTTATCTCCTCTACCAAGCTTTGTTCAAGGGTTAAGATGGAGTGGGAAGAAATAAGCAACATACCTTAACTCTTTCCTCTAGTTTCCCCTCCTTCCTAGCTTCCTAGCTATCGTTGCTCCTCAAATTCTAGTCTCTTGAAGGGTTTATGGTGGATGATGATGGGTGGTAAGTTTGGTAGTAACGTAGAATGAAGAAGGATACAAAGTTTCCCCTTCCTCAAAATTCTAAAGCCCTCTCATACCCTTCTTCCTCCAATCCTATGCCTCCAAATGGCCCAACCAAACTCTTAATTACCATTAACCCTCCATTTTCTTACTAGTAACAATTAAACCCCCACACTTCTCATTCCCTACACATACAACCTTAATAACCATGCACTAATGAAATTACGATTAACTCACACTTTAGTCGATCAACTTATTGGGTCAACATCATAATTAAACGTAATTTATATAGTTTAGCGGGGTGAAGATGTTACAAAATGTGCAATACGTGTAGATCAATAGGTCGACCATGTCGGCTTTCTGTTTGACATTTCAGGTGCAATCACGAGGTTTATTTTCTTTAGACTCTCCATGGCTTTGGTTTGAGGTATGAAGATATTTTTAGCCCTAAACGATTGACCGCTCTATGGTGCAATCGATCGTTTAATTATGAACTTTGATATTTTCATCATTATTCATTAAGTCGATCGCAACATATAAGTGATTGACCATTCTTTTCATTTGTAATGGTTGAGTCCCGTTGTAAGTTTATCATTCAATCGACCAATTTATAGATACAGTCGACTATTTTGTCCAAATCACGGTGCCTTGTAAGTCAACATAAAAATACCCATAACTTCCCCCTAAGATATCTTTATTTGAATTCCACCACTATAATTTGTAGCCTAAAATCACTTTTTTTTTTTAATCACGAACCTACTGGTGACAATTTATAATCCAATTCATCCACTTAAATATCCAACTAATCTTATCCATTAAAATTCAATCCATTTGATCCAAATCCAATTGGATTGGTGGATTCATGGATCGTTGACAAATTACACATTAGTACCTTTATTTTTATATATTTTACAATTTGGTACATAAAATATTTTATCATTAAAAAATGTCATTGGAATTTACGTTTTGGTACTTTAAATTTTTTTATTATAACATTTTAGTATCTCAACTTATCAAAATTTACATATTGGTGCAATACTTGGATGTCATTTGGGTTATTAATCAATCTACCAATCTATATGATTCAATTAATAAATCCACCAATCCATTTGATCAATTCGACGCATGAATCTATCATCTATTAATTCAGTCTAACCTAACTCATCCCAAAATTAGGGGGATTATTTTGAAAGTGGAGTTAGTGGGGTGGCATCCGTGGACCATGATCCAACCGACCCATTCTCCACCTTTCTAAAATTTTCAGGTTGAGGAACAAACTTGGATCCCAGTAAATCACCAAATACATGTATCTTCATCTAATAACATTTTTAAATTATTTAAATTAAGATATTATTAGTTTAACCAAACGCCAACTATGATCCCAACTGATTAGGTTCCAAATAAAATTAAACATATGTTGTATTTTACACGCTTAAAATACATTTCATTGTCATTTGCAAATGACCCATCAAATCTCAGCTACTAATCCTCCTACTTTGGCTTGCCTAGGCTCGTTCTTCAAGCAAAGAATATGTTAAATGTCATTAATACGCTCAACCTTAATGTAGGTGGATTTCCCCTAGCTAGGGTTAAGACCCACAATGACCCAATATATAGAGATAACAATCTAGTTTCACACTCACCACATAATCAACCTACATACTATAGTTAATCTTTCCTAAACAGAGGAATTTAATTCATATATATCGATAAATGGTACAAACCCTAGAAAGAGAAGACAACCAAAAACTTGAAATTTTATTCTTCTCTGGGATTTGCAACCTTCTCTTTACTCTTGATTGGATTCTTCCCCTTTACAAGAGGTTTTATCTCACTAAAAACTTCAAAAAACTAATTTTTCGCTTTAAGCCAACTCTCATGATCGAATGCAGAAAAATGGGATTTTATACAGATTTCTGGGCCATATCACGATCACGGGTTCTGACCCAAGGGTTTTTTCTTGACTTGTATTCACGACACTATTAAAACATGCAACAACAAGTAGGTCACTGCTTGATCTTGGTGGTGACCATCACGGAGACGTCGCTTTGCATGCTATTGAAATGCGTATGGAGTGGCCGAGTGGGTGATCGTGAAAGGTTTCACGATCGTAATGGTATTGTCACCTACTCACTACAAAACTTGAAATTTCTAACAATTAATCTTTTATATCACAAAATATTACACGAGTATGATGATTGGCCAAACAAACACTTCAATAATGGTGTAAAAATACATAAATTTAGATGTTAGTACACATTTTGTAAGGTTAAGACAAAAGCCAAAGTGTTTTTAAACGTTAGAGAGATCCTCACAATGTAGATACACTATCTCTTAAATAAATCCATATAATAAGAGAATATGATTTATTGAAATAAATTCGATCTTATATATTTTATCTAAAAAATAACTGATTGGTTGATTAATCAAAACACCCAAACAAACACAACAATGCCATTTTACAATTTTTAGTATTGTTATTGTTTCACAGTTAAGTTTGAATTACTAAATTTGTGAAAGTTATAATGTAGTTTTTTTTGGGTAAATACAATTTAATATCCAAACCTTTTATTTTAAACAATATAATAGCCAAACCTTTTCGAAAACAATCTAATATACAAATCGTCAACTTTCTGTCTGTTTGACCGTTAGTTGACACTTCAAAAAAGTTCGAAGTACGACACTTCATCAATATCCATCGATATCTTCTCTGAAAAACCACCAACATATCGTAGTTCCAAACTCGAGAAGTCCATGACTCCACCATGATGGTATAGAATATCTAAATATCCAATCATCTGCAATGGCAAAACAAGAAACCAAGTTATATTGTGACAATTTTCCCTAAACAAAGCTTTTTTGAGGTGTCAATAACAGTCAAACGAACAGAAAGTTGACGATTTGGATATTAGATTGTTTTTAAAAGGTTTGGCTATTATATTGTTTAAAATGAAAGGTTTGGATATTAAATTGTATTTATTTTTTTTTCTACTTGAAAACGTTAATATTATTATTCTCCATATTTATGTGAAACGAATTATTTACAAATACCATTTTCTTGGGATTTAAACTTTCTCTCAAAAAATTCCTTTTGTTTCTTCTCTTTCACTGTTAGCCCTAACCAATCCAATCTTCCTCGGTATGAAAAAGAAAATAATTAAATAAATAAAAAAGCAAAAGAAAAAGGATGTTCCTCTTTGTACGAAAAACCAAAGGAAAACCAAATAAACCAAATAAACAGAGCAAAGACCAAAGAGGGAGAGAATCGCTTCTGTAGATCAACATATCCTGGAGCGCGAAACCCCCAAATTCATTCCCTGCCTTTCTCCTCCGATAACCCTAACAAGCTCTCTCTCGACGTTTGAACGAAAGGTTCGTGAGGTTCTCTCTCAATCGGACCTTGTTTCCTTCGATTATTAGTTAATCGCTTTCGGTTTGATCGTGTTTATTGTAGAAATCTGGTGCTCTTACTGTAACCTGCTTGATGTCGAAGTCTCGATTTTTTCGAATGATTTTTTTTGAATTCTGTGCGTCGCTTTGTGCGGATGTGCTGCTAATCCCTCTTTCTCTTGTTTCTGTGGATGAAGTTTGTTTGACGTGTTTGTCTTCAATCCAGTTCATGGATTGATCTGATTTCAGTTCAAAATTAACCCGTTTCGGCTGATTTTCCTCTTTCTTTGGATTCCCCTTCGATTTAGTTTCTTCTATGTAGCTGTTTTTGATGATTTAAGTTGCTTGATGAACAGTTCCTTTTCCCATGGTGTGCCAAACTCCGATTCCCCCCACGTCCCTTTTTTTATCAGAGAGAAGGTTAAATATCTTCAGTGATCTTTTGATGGGGAAAGGTTCTGTTTCTTGTAATTTATTATCTCTGATGCTTAGATGTATGTGTTCGTTTTGGTTGCCATGCTTTTTTACTGTCGCCCGGATACTTGAAGTGGTGAGACGCATCATGCGATTGATTGTCTAAATTTGGTTTCTTGGTTGTTGCAGGGTGAACCTCCTCCTATTTTTGGATCATCCCTAAAATAGGCATCATGAGATTTAAGAAAGGAAGCAAGGTGGAGGTGTTGGGAAAAGAAGAGGGCGTGTGGCGGCTGGGTGAAATTACATCCGGTAAGGGACACACATACAGCGTCAAGTATGATGTTTCGATGTTTGCAAGTGGTGAAGATGCTGAAGAAAGGGTCCCCAGAAAGGCCATTAGGCCTTACCCTCCATTTGTTGCTTACCTTGATACATGGTCTGTTGGTGATGTTGTGGAGATCTATGTCAACCTGTCCTGGAGGACAGCTGTGGTTATGAAGGTCCTGGATGGAAATTACTACTCGGTTAAACTAACTGGGACTGCTAGAGAACTTCAAGTCAACAAAATCAACATTCGAGTTCCCCAATTATGGCAAGATGGCGAGTGGTTTGTCATGGGAAAAGTAAGTTTCGCTCATTTTTTGTCCCTTCAATTGCTCTTATATTTATTTCTTATTTTTGCATTAAAATGTTGGGATTACAATCCCATTGCTCCTGTTATTGCATGGTGATATCTTGGACTAAAATCATACTTCTTGGTTTCCTGACTTTTTTCTATTGGATAATATTCAGGGCAATAGTAGCTGCGAGGATGTGAACTCCACGAATGCATCAACCTTGAGTTGTTATCAGAAGGCAAGCCCCAGGATGCAGCAATCTGGTGCCAGTAGAAAACTTCCAGAAGGGAATAGCTATATATACACCGAGAACAACACTGGTTTTCAGGAGTCTTGTGTTGTGTCAGCTAGAACATTGAAGAGAGCTTGTCCTTTTTGGTCATCTGATTTTGGTGCATATGACGGAAGCCTTTGCAAAAAGAGAGCCATTGGGAATAAGGAGCAGCTCCAAGGAGTGCTGAAAGGGTACCAAATATCTTCACTGAAAAAGGTAGACGCTGTTGCTTACCCAGAACAGTATATGGGTGAAATAGACATGCATGGTTCCCCTAATAATCAAACTGGATGTGCCAGAAGAGTGGAATCTAATGATTCTGCTGATGATGCATGCTCTGTTGGTAGTTGTAGTGTCATTAGCATGGGTCCTAGTAAATTGTTTAGTTGTGCCATGGCTGGTAAGAGTGCCGATAAGGATTCCCTGAGTAGTGATGCTGAGTCACATTATTATCATGGAGACGAGGACGAAGAAATTTCCCCCCATCCTTTAGAAGATGTAAGTGCAAGTATCCATAGGTTAGAGTTGCATGCTTATCGTTCCACTCTAGAGGCACTCTATGCTTCTGGTCCCTTAAGTTGGGAACAAGAAGAACTTTTGACTGACCTTCGTATCTCTCTTAACATCTCACATGATGAACATTCGATGGAGATAAGGAATTTGATCTCCATTAGATCAGGTGGTCACAGTAGGTGGTAGTTTAGTAGGTTTTCCTTAATATGTTTATCATGTTTCAGCAGGGTCTTTGTGGTTGTCATGTGAGCGTGTCATTGTAAGAAGCAGGATGTAATTGTTACAATTTGTAGATTTCCTGACAATTCTTCACTATGGCAGTTTAGCCGTGACATATGTAATGCAGAAACTATGTAAGAAGTTCTTTATACAGTATTAGAGGATCACCATTGTGTTTCTGTTATTTCCTATCCCTCCTCCCCTTCCTTTCCAATTTCCTTTAGTTTGTTCGATTACAAAGTTTTTCTATAGTGCTCCTTAAGGCAGCCATCTTCCATTTCTGTACTGTTGACTATATTGGAAACACGGTTTGCTAGCTGACAGGCTTTCTTGAAAGGTTTTGTAGCCTATTTCTGGATTCCATTATCTCCGAGGACATGGTTCTGTTGTATGACATGTTTCTGTCATTAAAATGTTATTATGAAGTGGGAACACTGCTCTGTTCTTGTTAGTAAAATGGAATCTGGATTTATATTTTAAATCTTCGTGGCAGTCAATCCCTTGCCAATTGCCATTTTACTTGTACCCGCCTGTCCTTTGTTGTTACTTTCGTTAAGCATTTGCCATAAGGGCTACGCTTCCATATTTGGTTGACAGTCTTGCTCTGTCAAAATTTTAGTAGTCCAGTTTTCCTGGAAATTCCAGTTTATGGATGTTATTGACAAGTACCCTGCATTTTCAGGACAACAGTTGGACACATGCATGCTTTGCTTTGAAAGATCAAAAGATGATACTGGGGCACAAAAGATGGGGCCAGCATCCGCTTCCCTTTCTTTTGATATGCACGCCTGTCTTTTTTTCTTCGGCTATGCATGCCTCTTACTATTAGCTGATTACAGTTTGTTTCAGGTTTGCTGGGAACACATACAGAACTTGTGGCTGCCACGATGTGGGAAGGTCATGCTATTTTTAATATTCAATCCTCCACATAATTGTTGTGTTTGTTTTACATTGTGGCATCTGTTCTGAAACCGAGTAAACAAGTTGGACCATGGTTAGATTTGGAAGAAATCGCCCTGATGCCTAGGTTGGTGGTGCGTGAATGATTTTTTAGATTTTAGCAACGTATATGAATTAGTTTTTGTGTCCTCGCCTGCTACAGCTGAATTCGTTGGCTTTTGGTCTATTGTTCTGACGAATCCGTAAACATCTAGTTGCTGGTAAAGACATGAAATTTATATCTTCCTACAACGTCGTCACAGTATCAGTTCATCCTCAAACTAGTTGCTTTGCTCATTGCAATCCTGCACATAGGCATGCTGCTAGTTTTCAGTAGCAATATCCTCGGAACAGTTTTAGGGAAATTTTCCCAAGAATATTGGACTGGTCATAACAAGGTGAGTTTTCTCCTTGTCCATTTTTGTTTGTTTGTTTTTTAAGTTGATTCATATTAGTTAGGTTCTGCATAAGGTGTGGATCAATGGTTACTAAGTTCGTGCCACAGCTGTTAATTGTCTTACAAAGCTCATAGTGAGTCAGTGACGGCTATCTACTCAATCCAGTCCAGAAAGTTGGTATTACTTCCTGTCAATCTGATGCAATTGCCCATGACCTGTTTGAAATGGTATGATGTTGTAGCCATCTTTTGATCTACTGGATTATTATGAATTCTTTCTCCGGTACTGGCACTTCTTTCTTCTCTATTGCTACATTGGCAGATTATTCAGCTGTTGGAAAGCTTCCCCAGTATCCGTCTGGTCAGTGGCAAGTTATTTTTGAAGGAAACTACTTGTTTGATAGCTCTGTGCATTGACATTAAGTATCAATTTACCATGTCCAGGAAGCAAACCGTGTAACACCAGCTCTGGACATGTTTTATGTCATGGTTTCTCGCTTGTTATGTTGTCTTTTTAATCAATCGTAGCTGTTGTTCTTCATCATCGTGTCAATTGCTGCGGCCTGCGTGCACTGTCGCCCAAAGTTGATGACTTTGGGAGGGTAAATGATGCCCCCACCGACTTCCTTTTGGTAAACAGTGCTGAAATGTTTGATGAATGGAATTGCAGGTGCTGTGATGGGGATGAGATTAACGTTGATTTGGCTTATTTGGGCTGTTAGTTTGATTGGATAATTGTGTGGCCTAAGTGTTGATTTGGGCTGTTAAACAAAAACCAGAGCGTTAGTGTTCATTTGGTATAGAATGCTTGTGCAGCAGGGTCTTATACCTTCAGCTGGATTCGACGACAGCTTTCGCTTTACATACAGCAGCCCCGCAACAGGATAATCGGTAACACAACCTGTTCAAGAAATTTAGTAAGCTTGTGAACCAAAGTGGGGAGCTGAAGATCTCTCGTATCTAACCTTGAATGCAATAAAGTCGCCGACTATCTCGAGGTCAATTAGTTCATATAGGAACTCATGCTTTAAATACTTCGGGGCTCAAGATATGGTTATGCATCAATCAATAACTAAATCTTGACCTTTCATTTAGAAAATTCAGATTAAGGATTGAAAATTAAATATCATTTTTATTTTCCCTATCTTTCTTAATTGGCTCATACCTTCGTTTTAATTTGGATTTTTTTTTTGTTTTTTTTTGCACAGATGAAACGAGTCAGTTGTGTTCTACAAAATGATGTCCATTTTCAATATTTTTTGAGAAAAAAAGTTTTTGCCTCTTGGTACCAACTGCATGCCATATGGTATCTTCTTCGTTTTTAATTTGTTTTTGAAAATGTTTGCACAGAATGAACGAATTCATCATGATTTATTGGATCTACAAATTTCTGGGTGAAAAAATTACAGGACAAAAAATACCAAACAATACCACACTGGTACGCGGTGGTATCTTGTGGTAAACAATGTTAAAAGTCGTAAATGAACGTTAATATAATTCTATTATCATGTATTCAACCATCCTACAGTTTTTGTTTGTTCATACCACCATGGTATGCTTTTCAAACCATAAGTATGCTCTTATTTCAATACCAGTCAATAACATATAGTATAGACCGATAAAAAAAGTCTTTTTTTTGTTCGAAAAATATATCAAGTGGATATCATTTTGAAGAGCACAATTAATCTGATCTAACTATGCAAAAAAAATTAAATTCTACTTAAAACGAGTGAGAAATCGTCCGTCAAAGATTAAGGGGTGGAAAATTAAAGGCTTTTCAGGAGAGAGAGATGCTGATGTCATGCTGAGGTGGACGGGTTACTCATGATTATTCACCGTAAGGTTATTGACTGATTAGTCCCCGAATATCAGGGCTCAAGATGGGTTATGCACCAATCAATAACCAAATCAGGACCTTTCATTTAAAAAATTCAGATCTAAGGATGGAGAATTAAAGGTCATTTTTATTTTCCCTAACTTTCTTAATCGACTCATATCTTCGTTTTAATCGGAATTTAATTTTTTTTGCACAGATGGAACGAGTTCATCGTTCTCTACAAAATGAGATCTATTTTCAATATTTTTTGAGAAAAAATATTCTTGCATCTCGGTACCAACTACATATCATATGACATCTAATTCGTTTTTGAAAACGTTTGCACAGAAGGGACGAGTTCATCATGATTTATTGGATCTACAAATTTCTGGATGAACAAATTACAAGACAAAAAAATACAACACGATACCACACAATATCACCCTGGTATGGGGTGGTATCTTGTGGTACACAATGTTAAATGTCGTAAATGACAGTTAATATACTTCTACTATCATGTATTCAACCATCCTACAGTCTTGGTTTGTTCATACAACCATGGTATGTTTTTCAAACCATAGGTATGCTCTTATTTCAATACTAGTTAATACCATATGGTATAGACTCGTAAAAAATGGCTCAATTTTTTTTGTTCGAAAAATATATCAAAGTTGATATCATTTTGAAGAACACAATTAATCTTATGTGAGTGTGTCAAAATAAATTAAATTTCAACTTAAAACGGGTGATAAATCGTTCGTCAAAGATTAAGGAGGGGGAAATTAAAGGCTTTCCAGGAGAGAGGGATGTTGATGTCATGCTGATGTGGACGGGTTAATCACTATAAGGTTAATGAATTGTTATTTGTCGCCCGTAGTTATAAAAAACCTGACGATTTTGCCCCTGCCTCATTTTAAAAACCCTAAACCTAACTACCCCAAATCCCACCCCTCCCTTCTGCTGCCTTCACTTCCCACCTCCTTCTCACCGCCGACCTGCCGAGCTCAGCCGCCGCCGACCTCCTCTGCCGAGCTCCTCCCCCGCGCCAGGAGAGCCGCCGCTGCCATTCCCTCTCCCGATCTCGGCCACCACCGCCTAGGAGAAGCAGCCGCCGCCGCTGTTCCACTCGTCGCCGCCGAGGTAATTTTTTTTATAATTCGGTCTCGCCACCGTCCGACACGCCGGAGCGGACGCGTTCCGCCAGGTCTGGTCGGACCCCGTCCGCCCGGTCTGGTTGGGTTTCTGATTCGGTTTAAATAAATCTTTCTAGTATATTTATTTTAAATACAATTGTTAGTATCTTAATTAGTTTAATATTGATAGTTGAATAATTAGTCTATAATTGTTAATTATATAATTAGTATATAATTATTAATTATATAATGTGTTAGTTTATTAATTGGTTAAGTTGAAATAATTATTTAAATAACTATCTATCGTATTGAGTAAAGTAACTATCTAGTTAAATTAATTAGATAACCAAGTTATATGTATCATAATTAGTAATTGATAAATTATGACTATGAACAAATTGCTAATAAAATAATTTAGTATAAGAGATTAATAGATAATTATTGACTATGCTAATAGATAATTTATTATAATAATTATCTAAATAATTATTGGATTAAATAAATTGTAAATAATTGTTAATTTTAAATAATTATCTATGATGTTCTAGTTAAGTAATTGAGTAAGTTGAAATAAATATTTAAATAACTACCTATCGTATTAAGTAAAATAACTATCTAGTTAAATTAATTAGATAACAAATTGTATGTATCATAATTACTCTATGAAACAACAAGTAATTACTCAACAAATAATTTATTATAAGATATTAATAGAAAATTATTAACTATGTTTAGAGATGGCGTCACCTGGTAATTCTGGAGGATCACATAGTTCTAGAGGAGCTGCAAAGAGATTGAGAAGATTCATTGGGCATAACATTAGCGCTAGTGTGAGAAATAGGGACCCAAATGATAGAGATGAGCCACAGCCACAGCGACTAGTGACACCGATGAGTTTGAGGACAGACGGTTTTCCTCAGTTTGATTTTCAGATGCCTAGTATGGCTGGTAGTGGAGCTGGTCCCAGTCGTGATCATGCTTCACCGTTTGAGCCTTCGGATGAGATTGATGACGAGTCGGAGGAGTATGAGTCGGATGCTGTTGAGTGTCGCATTCCACCAGTCCGTCCGATCAGAGACAGAGGTGCCCCCAGCGGATCGTCACATGTTGTTACTGGGGTTCATGCTATTACTGGGATCTATAGAGACCATCCGGGGCGTTTCTATAGAGCTCCATAGTCTGGTGAGGGCCAGAGTGGTACTGTTGATGTGGGAGAGGCCTGGGAGCCTAAAGGATCGTGTCCTGGAGGGCCGAGTGACCCGATTTTGCTCCGTAGCTTTCTTGGGCATGTTGCCCACCGTCTGTACACTGGAGAGGCTGATAGAGGGGTGATCACTTGCTACGACAGGAGTTCGACCCTTTACCACGTTCTCGACGGTTATGTGATAGCAGATGATAACGCTTGGACTACCGTAGAGACATCAGGCCTTGCTCACCTTGTTGATATCACCTTCCAGAGCGAGCTGGACCCTGCTCTCATCTCGGCATTTGTGGAGAGGTGGCAGCCGGATACCAACACCTTCCACATGCCGTTTGGAGAGATGACGTTCCTCCTTCACAACGTGGCACACATTCTTGGGCTTGCGGTTGAGGGAGAGGCGATGGTAGTGGATCTGAGGCAGTTGGAGAAGTGGGCACTAGAGACTGACATTCGAGCACTACTGGGATTAGATCGCGACGATTCCGATTACGGGGCGCAGGTTGGTGAGGTCGCCAGTCTGTCTAGGTGGTACAGAGGATTTGATTTGTTGGGTGTGGGAGCTTTGACTTATTTGCACATTGGTGTTGATGTGCCAAACACATAGCAAATGCGGGGTGCGGGGGAAGACCACAGAAACCGTAGCAAGTAGTCCACCTTCGTGGTCGGTGACGATGACAGTGGGTACGCGTGGATGGAGCAATTGTTGTATGCACTCCAACAGCCACAGATACGACTCTTTTGTCTCATCCTTCAACATCTGGATGGAAGTTGGATGGGCAAAAAAAAGATGTGTAAGCACGTCGTTATCGTCCTTCACAACCTCTGTATGATAATTCTCACGTTCAGCTGCTAGCAACGCATACTGCAATGCATTCATCTCGCCCATCTCGTCTTTCCTAGACTTGGACCCGAGGTTATACATCTGCCTTTGGGTGTGATGCCCTTTGTCACCCTTCTGCTTGTTTATTGTCTACTTCTGTTGCGACGGAGGTACCCCAGCATCTCTCATAAGCTTCAAAGATTCTTTATCCTCCTGACTCAATTTATTCATTTGACTGTGGCCCTCGGGATAAAGCATCTTCTCATGATTGTGATACCCTCGCCTTAAACCGGTTTCTTGCTCAATCACTGCTTGTATCTCCTAGAATGAAGGTCCATCAAGAGCATCAGGATCAACCAGTAGTTCTTTGATTTTAACCTTGAACATGCATCCCGATCCTTTTGAACTTGTATTGCCACGACTCTCCTTGGAAGGATCCAGTTTGTATGACTTCCTCTCACTACTGCATTTGTCGCAATACATATAACACATACCCAATACTCTATTGTTGCGCAACTCACGTGGCTTCATCGATCCCTTAGTTACAAAGAAACCAAGAGACATCGCTATGTTTTTGGTCACTGTTACAGCATCTTCGAAATTGTCATATCGGACGCCATTGAGAAAATGGTCTGTGTAATCACCAATTAGTTAAGCATTGTAAGCCATGTCCACCTCCAATTATGATTTCACAACTTGTTAGAAAGGTACAAATTATATGATTCTACAAAATTAAACTAAATTAATTAACTCTACAAAATAAAAATAATTTGACGATAAGAAATTTAATTAAATATAAATTATTAGACCAAATTAGCTCTACAAATTAAATCTAAACACAATAAACTAATTATCGCTACAACAAAACATAATCACTTAATTAAACTAATTATGCTTCAATTGACTCTACAAAATTAAACTAAATGCAATAATTTAATTAACTCTAAAAAAAGATAATTTAATGATAAGAAAATTATTTAAATATAAATTATTAAACTTCTTTATCTCTACGAATTAAATCTAAACACAATAAACTAATTATCACTACAACAAAACACAATCGCTTAATTAAAATAATTGTGCTTCAATTGACTCTACAAAATTAAACTAAATGCAATAATTTAATTAACTCTAAAAAATAATGATAATTTGACGATAAGAAAATTATTTAAATACAAATTATTAAACTTCTTTAGCTCTACAAATTAAATCTAAACACAATAAACTAATTAGCGCTACAACAAAACACAATCGCTTAATTAAACTAATTGTGCTTCAATTGACTCTACAAAATTAAACTAAATGCAATAATTTAATTAACTCTAAAAAAAATGATAATTTGACGGTAAGAAACTAATTAGCGCTACAACAAAATACGACCGTTTAATTTGAACTACATATAAATTTAACTATGTAAAATAGAAATAAAAGCAATAAATTAAATATAAATTATTAGCTCTATAATGTCTCAAATTAAAAAAAAAGAACACTGTCGGCTATCGCCGTCTGCTCGCCGGCAAAGGGCGCCGTCCGCTCGCCGGCGGGCGGACGGCAAAAAAATCCAGGAGGAGGTCTGTAAAGACATAATTAGCTAGTTTTAGAGGAGAAACGGCTCTGAAAGGAAGGAGAAGCTGCAAGCAGCTGAATTCGTCATTCCTCCTCCTCCTCCCTGACGGTAATCCTTTTCCTAAACCCTAATCCCCCATTTTCGTCTTTGGTAGAGCTCTGAATTCGCTGAAAGAGTGAATGATTATCGTATTCCCCAAATCGGCGCTCTTCTCTTCTTCAGTCTCAGTCCCAGCATGGAAATGGCGGCTCTCCATTTGCCTTCGTTCTCGATTCAGGTACACTTACTGCAACTATCCCCCATCGCTTTTGATTCTCTTCCTTTTCTATTGTTCTCAATTGCATTCTTTCATCTGTAGCCATCTCCGCCATTCCCAAAGCACTGTGTATCTCTAAACACTACGCAGCTCATGACCGAATTCGTGATGTTCCAATGTCCGTCGAGGCGCAATCCTCCAAAATCTGGTTCCCTGATGATTAGACGCCGCTTAGTGAGAGCAGTTAGCGATTCGGGTAGCTCGACGGAAGGAGCAGCAGCTGATTCTCCGGACGAGAACATTGTTGTTACTAGCGATAGAGTTAATGATTCTCCGCCTGATTCTCAGGACAAAAAATGAAAAACAAAATAATAAATAAATTAGGATCATTCCCTCTCCCAAAATGGCGGCTCATCGATCTATTACTCCTCTCCGTCGTCCTTCTCCTCACCATCCTCGCCGTCCCTTCCTCCGTCAGTCCCCCGCAAACCCGATGCTCCAATTTTCACTTCCCCACAATCCAACCCATCTAATTGAAATCTCTGTGCTTAACCCTCGTCGTCCTCTCTCCCCAAACCCGCCTCCGCCTAATTTCAACTTGAACTTGAAGTTCCCCGCCACCGTCTTGACCACCCAGTTTGTGGTCTCCTATTCTCTCTAGCTAAATCGCTCGTTTTCTGCATTTGGTTCGCCGACAATCTCTATAAGTCGCCACAGGCACCTTTTCCATCTAAATAGACACATGCTAATTCAATAGTAGACGATGATGGTGATGAGCGGCGGGCATAGTCGACGCAAAGAATTCCAGAGAAAACGGAGGGTGGTGCTGTCGGAAAATCGCGATTACTAGTTTTGGAGACATGCTGCTTGATAGACCGTTAATTACACATGTTTTCACCCCTGTTCTTATACTGTTGGAGATGTGGTTTCTCGTGTTTTAGACCGATTTCACGCTAGGTTGTGCTTGTTTGTGATATTTCAGGTCCTGACAAGTGAGTGAAGGTTTAGGAGCGAGTTCGGGGTCGATTGGGCGAAGATCGGGCGCGAGACAAGTCACAAAGGAGGTCGCACGGGCACACCCACAACCCACACGACCGTGCAAGTGACCAGTTTGGCCGTGTGGAATTCTGCGAGAGCAAACACGGGCAGGATGGAAATCTGCACGGCCGTGCGATCCTGGCCTTGTAAGAAGCCTGGAATTCGAACTAATTGATACGCTGCGTTTTGACTCGCACGGGCAACTGGATGGGCCACACGGCCGTGCGACCCTGGCCGTGTGAGTCGGGATTTTCTCCTTTTAAGCAGATTTTCAGCCACAAGTCGAGGAGATTCGATTTTATGAGAGAGAGAACGATTCCTAGAGAGAGAAAGCGACGAACAAGAGTCTCCAAGTGCCCTAGATTGATCTTCAACACCATTGGAGGCCAGCTTGAGCTTGGAGAAGTGCCGATCAACGTCCAGTAGCAGGAATCCATCCTTCACAGTATGAATTCTGCGTCTGATTCTGCTTTTGCTTCTTTCTCCATGGAGTAGTTCTCCCATTCATCTGGGTATGGAGAACCCTAGATTTGTATGTTAGGCTTTGATTGTATGAACCCAAGTACTGATTCTATGATTTGATTATATTCGATTGAGGTTTGAATGATTGAATGACTTGAATCCTGATCAAATTCCTGTTGTTTCTGCTTTGACCTAGAATGAGAATATCTGCCTAGGTTGATAGAGCATCCTTGATTGAAGGTAGGGAGTTGGTGACTTTAGTCGAGGAACCAACTCACTATTCTGTACCGGTTTTACTCCGGTAGTGGAGGTTTTGTTCTTAGGGCCTCAATCTGTTTACTCCGGTGGAGGTTAGTCGCCCGCTAGAGACTCAGATTGAGAGGGTCTGAAGACCTTTAGTCGAGACTTCAAGCTGTTTAAGAACCTTCCGCAGTATAACTATCATAGAAACTGAACTTGGTAATTACAATCCGGCTTAACTGAAGTCTAGGGGGAACCATATCCGGGTGACCTCTCTTAACCTGAATACAACAGTTGACTTGCTTTGTTTGTTTGGTAGTTTAGACTTGCATTCAAGTTTCATTGCTAGATAACAAGAATTCACTGAGTAGTCATCAAATCTAGGACCCGGGTTGATAATTAAACCTAAACCCACTATACTACGCTTTAGGAAGTGGTTCCACTTGGCCAATTCCTGGAGTGACAGTAGAGTCGAGTCAAGTTTTTGGCGCCGTTGCCGGGGACGGCTAAGTTGTTGAAGAAAAGTGATTTCTGTTAATTTAGCTTTTCTTTTCGCATTGTTGCTTTTTCCCACTTGTGCCTTTACGGGTTTGCTTGCTTGATTGTGTGCAGGTAGTGCATGACCCGTAGCCAGTCGGGAGGTTTACTGCCGTTGAATCCAGAGATTGAACGCACCTGTCGCCAACTCAAGAGACAACAGCAAGCTAGACTGGCTACGGAAGAGCGCATAGACGGCCACGTGAGCAGTGATTCTGAGGAGGAGTACGAGATGGAAGACTACAATCAGCACCAGGGGAATCCTCAGCAGGCTCCCCCGGTGAATCAGGTCCTGGGGAACAACCCCATACCCCAGGATCATGGGGTTCATCATCCACCGCAGCCGGGTCCCACCTTGGAGTACTACTACACTCCTCGGATTGCTGACATCCGCCCGGTCATCCTCTTCCCGCCTATTCCAGCAAACAACTTCGAGATCAAGCCATGCTGGATTCAGCTCATCATATCCTCTATCCAGTTTCATGGTTTGAAGGATGAGGAGGCCAGGGTACATCTGTCCCGTTTTCTGCAGCTGACAAACTGGTTCAAGCTGAACGGTGTCCCAGATGATGCAATCCGCCTTCATCTCTTCCCTCATTCTCTGGCGGGGAATGCTAAGATGTGGTTGGAGACCCAACCCCCATTGTCCATCACCTCTTGGGACGATCTGGCTGACAAGTTCGTGCACAGGTACTATCCAGCATCGAAGACTACAGAGATCTAGTGGGAGATCACTCACTTCCGCCAAGAGCCAGATGAGTCACTTCGTGATGCTTGGGAGCGGTACATGGGCTATTTCTGGCAGTGCCCCCATCATGGCTTCAGTGATGCATTCATAGTGGGGAACTTCTACAGTGCCCTCTCTCCAGATAGCCAGAGGGTGATTGAGTCTCTATGCCCAGGAGGGGATATTCTTACTAAGACTCCACCCTAGCTGAACCAAATGATCAGTACCTTGGCTGCCAGAGATCATTCTTGGGGACAGGGTAGCCGAGGCAGACAGTCCCAGGACCGTGGTGTGCACTCCATGGAGACCAGATCCGGGCTCGAGCAGCAGGTAGCTGAGTTAGTGCAGACATTGAAGCAGCCCAACAGTCTGATTCCGGGCAGAGGTTTGGCTACACCTCCAGTAGCTCAGTGTCAGTGGTGTGAAAGCTCAAATCACTTAGTGGAAGACTGCCAGGCTATGAGGGAGTCTACTACTCCCCAAGAGCAGTTGGACTTCATCGCCAATGCTCGGCGCCTCGACCCGTACAGCAGCACATATAATGAGGGGTGGCGCCAGCATCCCAACTTCGCCTGGAGCAGCAACACCACTAAACCACCTGGTTTCCCAGCACCAGCAGGTGGTTTTCAGCAGAGGCAGCCCTTCCAGACTCGACAGGGGCCAGCCCCACAGCAGCAGCCCTACCAGCCTAGGCAGGGGCAACCATTCCAGGAGCCCCAGCGCCAGTTTGCCGAGCCAGCAGCAGCTCCGGCCCCAGATGACCGGATGACAAAGCTGGAAAATATTCTAGCTTCATTCATGACTAGCACTCAGGCTGCTATCACGTCACTGGAGGCAGGTCAGCGGAACCACGGTGCCATTTTGCAAGATCTGCAGACCCAGGTGGGCATCTTGGCCCGCCAAAACACTACCAGGGCGCCGGGGACTCGGCCTGCCACCACTATCCCTAATCCTCGGGATCCTCACCAGCTCCAGCAGCTTGATGCCATTTTTACCAGGAGCGGTAAGACCATATCTGCTGATCCTGTCTCGGCCAGACAGGAGGAACCACTACCTGCTTCAGCACTTCCAGCCGACGATGCAGAAGTGCGGGTGGAGAAGGAAGCCCTTGCTCCCAAGCCACAACCAGTGGTTAAGGAGCATGTACCTCAGCTTCCCTTCCCCACTCGCCTACACAAAGACAAGCTGGAGACTGAGTTTGCCAAGTTTATGGCAATGTTGAAGCAGCTCAACATCAGCATACCGTTCGTGGAGGCACTGTCGAAGATGCCCAAGTATGCCAAGTTCATGAAAGATCTCCTCTCCAACAAGAAAAAACTTGGGGATCTCTCGACAGTGTTGATGAGCGAGGAGTGTTCTGCTATCCTGCAGAACAAGCTGCCCGAGAAGCGCAAGGATCCAGGGAGTTTTACTATCCCTCTTACTATTGGCAGCATGCATGTAGGCAAGTCCTTGGCGGACCTAGGCGCTAGCATAAATGTCATGCCATATAAGTTGTATAAAAAGCTAGACCTAGGTGAACTTAGCCCTACTAGGATGAGCATTCAGCTAGCTGATCGTTCCATTGTGCATCCTAGGGGAATCATAGAGGATCTGCTGGTTAAAGTAGGTGCATTCACATATCCTGTTGATTTTGTTATTCTTGATATACATGAGGATGTGGATGTGCCTTTGATTCTGGGTAGACCATTTCTTGCCACCGCCAAGGCACTTATTGATGTGCATGATGGTAAACTGATCTTGCATGCTGGGAATGAACATGATACTTTTTCTGTGACTGAATTTGATCACTGTGCTATGATTGCTGTCACGCCTGTACATGCCATTTCTGATCAAGTACACGAGCCTGTCGTGTATCCTTCTGCACCTCTTATTTTGCAGGACCCTCCTATCATTCCTTCACCGCCACTCCATCAAGCCTCGCCTCCGAACAAAAAGCTCAAGGAGGAGTGGCGGCCGAAGCAGCAGGTTGCTAAGCCTGCACGGAAGAAGAGTGGAGACCACTATGAGCTGGTTCCACCTCCTGCACCACGACCGCCCTGGCCGTCCGGGTACTCACTCGCCTGCATCTTGCCAGATGGCCAGGTTGAGCTGACAGATGATGGTGGTCGCATCCGTCGGGTGCATGGCCACAACCTTAAGCTGTACCTCAAGAGCGACGTGGATCCGCTCTTGGAGGCACCTGTTCCTGCACCTCCCTGAGTATCCACCTAGGCGTCCAGCTACAAGACGGTAAAGAAGCGCTTGTGGGGAGGCAACCCCACCACGGTTTGATTTTCTTTTTTGTGTTTTGAGTTGGATTGTAAACCAGTTTGGTTTTGGTTTGTTTTCTTTTGTTTTGGATGATGTTTTATTGGGCTGACCATTGGACCTAACATATTGTGTTGAGCTCTTTGGTTTCCTTTTAGCTGTGCTTGTCTTGACTGGTCCTCTATCCAGTCCGCTTCACTCCGACTGGTCCGTTTCCTGTCCCCTGCAGTCCGTGCATACCGGTAACATCGTTCCCCTTTTCCTTCCCTCTTCTCCATTGAGGGCAATGTCGATCTTAAGTGTGGGGGGATGTTTATCTTTTGACTGCATTAGATCTGTCTATGTGCTTTGGAGCCTAGTCCACTGTCCAAATTTTTAAATTTGAGGGCTCCAAGTACGTGTTCCGTGCAATTGCCTGCTCAGTATGCTTTGAATTGACTGTCTTTATAGTAATATGCAACCTAGGGAGGTAGTGTAGCACTATGGAGGATGTTGATGCATTTAAGAAGTCTCATTCCTTCTTCATATTGTGTTGGTTGATTGAGTGAATTAGTGATCTTAGGACCCTTGAATTGTGTGGTGTTGTGGATTCTTTACCTGTCATGGGCTCTTGTATCATGTTTTGGGTTTAACAGGTGCTCGAAAATGTGCTTCAAAATAACGTCTCCCGTGCGAATAGGGCGAAAGTGTGTAAGGGGAGGCGGGAATCCGTTCCCAATTTCCACCTACTACCTCCAGCCCCCTTACATGTCTTTCCCCCGCACGAGGCTCGAGACATCCGCTCCTGGCATGGCCGGTAAGAGCAGGTTGGGACCCTTGAAAGAAAAAAAAAAGAAAAAAATATCCGAAAACAATCAAAAAGAAAATGGGTTCCAACCATCTTCAAGAAGAAAATAGAGCACCTTGAAAAATGTGAGTCCATGATCCTTTGTTTTTGAGAATCTCTTCATCCACAATTCATTTGTCCTCTGTTCACTGTTTGCCATGATGCCGACTCGATACTAGTGCTCTCGCCGAAGAAGCTATGAGATGACTTATGCGTCGGTTGACCTCGTAAGCTGCTAAATGATCTAGGAGGTCCTCTACCAACGATCTGGGTTGTTTGTTGCTATAAAGGTCTGGAGAGTTGCATTGGTTTGAGTTAGGTTTGCTTGGGGACAAGCAAACGGTTAAGTGTGGGGGAGTTTGATAGACCGTTAATTACACATGTTTTCACCCCTGTTCTTACACCGTTGGAGATGTGGTTTCTCGTGTTTTAGACCGATTTCATGCTAGGTTGTGCTTGTTTGTGATATTTCAGGTCCTGGCAAGTGAGTGAAGGTTTAGGAGCGAGTTCGGGGTCGATTGGGCGAAGATCGGGCGCGAGACAAGTCACAAAGGAGGTCGCACGGGCACACCCACAACCCACACGGCCGTGCAAGTGACCAGTTTGGCCGTGTGGGATTGTGCGAGAGCAAACACGGGCAGAGCAGAAAATCCACACGGCCGTGTGAGGACGCATTTTGGCCATGTGGAATTCTGCGAGAGCAAACACGGGCAGGATGGAAATCTGCACGGCCGTGCGACCCTGGCCGTGTAAGAAGCCTGGAATTCGAACTAATTGATACGCTGCATTTTGACTCGCACGGGCAACTGGGTGGGCCACACGGCCGTGCGACCCTGGCCGTGTGAGTCGGGATTTTCTCCTTTTAAGCAGATTTTCAGCCACAAGTCGAGGGGATTCGAGTTTTTGAGAGAGAGAGCGATTCCTAAAGAGAGAAAGTGACGAACAAGAGTCTCCAAGTGCCCTAGATTGATCTTCAACACCATTGGAGGCTAGCTTGAGCTTGGAGAAGTGCCGATCAACGTCCAGGAGCAGGAATCCATCCTTCACAGTATGAATTCCGCGTTTGATTCTGCTTTTGCTTCTTTCTCCATGGAGTAGTTCGCCCATTCATCTGGGTATGGAGAACCCTAGATTTGTATGTTAGGCTTTGATTGTATGAACCCAAGTACTAATTCTATGATTTGATTATATTCGATTGAGGTTTGAATGATTGAATGACTTGAATCCTGATCAAATTCCTGTTGTTTCTGCTTTGACCTAGAATGAGAATATCTGCCTAGGTTGATAGAGCATCCTTGATTGAAGGTAGGGAGTTGGTGACTTTAGTCGAGGAACCAACTCACTATTCTGTACCGGTTTTACTCCGGTAGTGGAGGTTTTGTTCTTAGGGCCTCAATCTGTTTACTCCGGTGGAGGTTAGTCGCCCGCTAGAGACTCAGATTGAGAGGGTCTGAAGACCTTTAGTCGAGACTTCAGGCTGTTTAAGAACCTTCCGCAGTATAACTATCATAGAAACTGAACTTGGTAATTACAATCCGGCTTAACTGTAGTCTAGGGGGAACCATATCCGGGTGACCTCTCTTAACCTGAATACAACAGTTGACTTGCTTTGTTTGTTTGGTAGTTTAGACTTGCATTCCAGTTTCATTGCTAGATAACAAGAATTCACTGAGTAGTCATCAAATCTAGGACCCGGGTTGATAATTAAACCTAAACCCACTATACTACGCTTTAGGAAGTGGTTCCACTTCGCCAATTCCTGGAGTGACAGTAGAGTCGAGTCACTGCTTTTGTAGACAGAGGCGAAGGTAACCGTCGACTGGGGGATCACTGGAGGTGGATAATATCATCGAGTACTACCGAGTAATGGACTACTCCAGATCTTGAGGAGAAGAGGTCAACCTCCTCGGGCCAAGCTGAGATGCCGATTGTTGAGCGACAAGTGTAACGATTGGGACTTAGTTGTAAACAAGTGTTAGTTTGGGATGTTTTTGTAATTTGGTTGGTACTATAAAAGGGATGTTGCTGTAATGGGAAGATTAAGAATTTATAGAATCAATTTCCCCAACTCTTCTTTCTGCTTTCTCGTTCTCGTTCTCAGTCTACTTCTTCCTTCTGATCTTCTTCCCCAATCTCTCATCCTCTTATGCTCTAATCCTAATTCTGTTATGCAATTACAAGTTCTTTCCAATTCCATTCTCTGTAAACTTGCCGGGAAGAACCAGAGTGTTACAAATTGATATCAGAGTCTCTTCTCGACACTGAAGACGAGTATGTTTTCATGGAAGAACGGTTCGTCGGTGGGGTTCGCCGGCCGACGAATTGTGCGGATCGAGTGGCGACTTTGGACGCTCTAATGGAGGAGCTAAGCCACAAGAACAAAACAATCTTGGCGCAATTAACAATATTCTGCCATTGGAGTGAGGCTGCGGAGCAGCGATGAACGAGAACTGATGTCCACCCACAGCGCGTTCCACCTGTTCGACAAATTGCCAAGCCGGAATTTGTCTCAGGTATTCCTCTGTTCTCCGAATTTGTCTCAGGTATTCCTCTGTTCTCCGATAATAATTCACGGGAATGGGTTAGGAAGTGTGCAGGGGTGTTCGAGAAGTATGGCATTCCGGAGGAACATCGAGTTATGTTGGCGGCAAGTTACTTTGAACTTAGTCCAGCGATATGGTTTGAAGGGTGGAAAACTTGTCGTAATGAGCTGGTTTAGGGAGAGTTTGCAATTTCCCTGTGTAGTAGGTTTTGTGGTTGGGAGTCAGGTGGAATTGTGGGTGAGTTCACGAGGTTGCGACAAAGGGGAACTTTAATTGAATATTAGGAGAAATTTGAGGACCTGAAGTGTCATATGTTATGCTATAACCCAGCATTAACACATGAGTATTTCATCTCGGGGTTTATTAACGGGCTAGAAGAAGAACTGAGGCAGATGGTTATAAGGTTGCAGCCCCAAACATTAGCTCAAACTTATCATCAAGCTTAATTGAAAATGAGTTTGAGGAGTGTAGATGGAGATCTATTGATTGCACCTATTCCAATCACAGAAGACAAGGATGGAAATGGCGACTCAGCTGTGTTCAAGTTGCTGAAGATAAATAAGAATTTCATATCTAGTAATGGTAATGATGAATATGATCATCGTGATTTGCTCGATGAGAATGGTTGTGATTTTGTCAATTTTTGTTCTCACTATACCGAGGAAAAGGTGGTCCAAGTACAGCTAAGGGGAAATACTCTAATCCTCCAGCACCTTGTCAAGAGGAAGAGGTTGTTCCTGTGTAGTCAAGGAACCACAAGGGTAAGAACTTGAATAATGGCTTGAGTGGGGTTCTTGATTCTCTAGTTGCAGATGTGGCAGCAACTCAATCTTTGAAAAATGATGATAGCACAACTATGGGGAATAACAATTTGGATTTGATAGATTCAAGAGAAGTTCATGAGGTTCTGATTGGAGTTGCTACCAAAACTGCAAAGCTAGTGTATGGTGATCAACTGGATTGTGGGTTTAAGCATCTGGCTTCAATAACTATGAATGTTACTAGACTGTCTTCTCCGGGGTTTAGAGGGGTTCAGTATTGCAGTCCGAGCATGGCTGATTATGTTGGTAAAGATGGTAGCTGGGATTATGAGTATAGGGTTTTTCATGCTTACTATGGGGGTTTTGTGACTTCGCGTGCCAGGGGAAGGTGCCCTGGCTTTAAGGAGCCCTATAAGGATACCTTGGGAAGCCAAGTTACAATTGATGTTGCTGAAGTCAATGGAAGACAATAGAGGATTGTCGTTATAATGGCTGGTATTGGCGCTGCTCAAGGAATTGTTGAGGTCCCATTAATGCAGTGGAGTGCTTGGCCAATTCATTCAAGGAAAGGAACTGTCCCTGCTGGAGAAACTAATTTGTACACAAAGAGAACATGTCATTCAGAGTTTGCGTACAAGAATGATGAGTCTATGAAGCATATCAGTTTAGAAGCATCAAAGCCTACTCTTACACTAGAGGAAGTGCTACAAAAGGAAGCTAAACAGAGGAATTGTGCCAAGAGTTGCTAAGGATGTTGCTATGAAAAGAGCTCCTCCCATGGGGTATCATTTTCAGCTGTTGTATGATCTTGCACCTATTGTGTGTGCAGGTAGTTTTCTTATCCTGATAGTGACTCAAAAGTATATTGGTTGGATGATGAAGAGTATTATAATAGCTTGTTTGTTATTGAGCAACAATCCTCCATCAAACTCTGCTTAGCAGAAGTAGCTCTCATCATGCACTAATACAAGGCTGTTGTTTAATTTGCATAAGATTTAGTGTTGTGGCTGGAAAGTTTCCTTCTAGTGCTTGCCTCTGGTTGTTCATTGTATTTTAGCATGATGATTGCAGGACTGAGTTCATTTTTACCCTTGTTAGTTTTGTTGTTTTCATTAGGCTTGAGGATAAGCCTTTTCTCAAGAAGTGGGGATTGTAACGATTGGGACTTAGTTGTAAACAAGTGTTAGTTTGGGATGTTTTTTTTTTTAATTTGGTTGGTCCTATAAAAGGGACGTTGCTGTAATGGGAAGATTAAGAAATTACAGAATCAATTTCCCCAACTCTTCTTTCTGCTTTCTCGCTCTCGTTCTCAGTCTACTTCTTCCTTCTGATCTTCTTCCCCAATCTCTCCTCCTCTAATCCTAATTATGTTATGCAATTACGAGTTCTTTCCAATTCCATTCTCTGTAAACTTGCCGGGAAGATCCAGAGTGTTACAACGATTTGATGATATAGCACGTTTGCTTGCTACATCGTCGGAGTCGAAATTAATGTAGGGATGAAGGATCTTCGCGACGGCCGATTGTATGAGATATGAGGAAGAAGAAAGGCGGAGTGGCAGAGAACGAGGCAGGGCAGAACCAATGAAAAAGGATGGGTTTATTTTATTTTTGTTTCCCACCAATTTTAGTCATAATACAAATATTGGTAATATGTGGATTTTGTGAATATTTTAAGTGGGTATATGCTTATTGGGCAATGACATGGCGAGTTGACCATTAAGTCAATGGATTTAACCGTCCAAACTAACAGTCAACTCTCGAGGTTGGCCAATTTCGTAAATTTAATGCATAGTTGAGGCCACAAAATTATAGATAAAAAAGATTGGCAATAATGTTTAATATGTGAAAATTTCGGGACATAAGATATATTAATGCTTATTTTGTTATCAGATGAAGTTTTCATCAAAACAATAGATAAAAGATTATGTTTTTTTAACTTCAAAGATTATGTTTTCATAAAACGAAAAATAATTACAGAGAGAAAGAAGAGTAAGTAATTTTAATTTAAGACATATTAGGATATCAATCTTGTAGCCAAATTTTGTACAAAGGATGTTGTCTGCAAACTAATTTTGTAAGTTTCACTTGAAGGCGGTAAAAGAGACGATTGCTGATAACGCAACTGTGTCTTTCTTTCGAACGTTGATATAACGCAACGGTAAGTCCTATAAATTCTTCAGCTCCCGCCCTCTCCCTTTATATCACCTTCTCCAACCAAATTCGAATTGGAGAAAAAGCGCAGAGAGACTCAATGGTAATGCGTCTCCCATTCCGTTGACGATTTGTTCCTTCTTCTTGAGTTTCTTTTCTCCCACTCTCTCGAACTTTTACATCAAAGGTGGAGCGTCTGGATTATGTTTCACTCCGCCCCTTCATCTTGCCTCTTTTGATTGCTTTGTTTGCTGCGTGTTCGATGGATTAACGCGCAATTTCTTGTTGAATAAATAGGCATTCCCGAACCAGCAGACTATTGATTACCCGAGCTTCAAGATCGTGCTCGTCGGCGATGGTGGCACAAGTTTGTCTTTCATTTGTACTTTTTTATGTCTTAGGGTTTCAATCCTTTTAGTTTTGAATTGAATTGTTGTGGCTTTGGATGTGCGATTGCCTGCAGGCAAAATGACGTTTGTAAAGAGGCATATTACCGACGAGTTTGAGAAGCGATATGAGCGTGAGTTTTGAGGGTTTGATTTCCATTGTTGATGCATAGGAACTTCCATTGAATTGCTTGTTTTAATTTGGTCCGACTTTGATCATTGTGCAGCAACAATCGGTGTGGAGGTTCATCCACTAGATTTCTTCACCAACTGTGGCAAAATCCTATTCTATTGCTGGGACACTGCTGGCCAAGAAAATTTCAGTGGCCTCAGAGATGGATACTAGTAAGTTTTACAAGTTCCTTCCTACTGCAATGGTCTTTTGTATAATCGTACATGTCGAATTGCGATGAGCTTTGTTTAGGGGATTAGTGTGTAACTAAGGTTGTGTATATGGTGATGAATAGATTGGTATCCTAGAAAGCTAGATGTTTCTTTAAGCATTGATCTTAGATACTGTAAAAATGCTATGATGGTCTGTAAATTAATCGTCCTTGTCGAATTGCAATGGGTTCTACTCAGGGGATTAGTCTGTAACTAAGACTGTGTGTATGGTGATAAAAGGTTAGTGCTAACCTGCTCTGGCTGACAAGTACCTCTGATGGTGTATTTATTTGTAACTAGAAAATTAGGTGTATCCAAGGCCAATGAAGCATTGATCTTAGATATTGTAAGAACGCTATGATGGTTTGATGACAATTACTGAGAATGAGTTAGGTTTGATAACAATATCCATAGCCAATGTGCAATCCTAATGTTCGACGTGACTGCTCGATTGACTTATAGAACGTTCCCATGTGGCATCGCAATCTTTGTCGATAGGTTCCTGCATCTTTCTACAATTGATAAACAACAACGGCAAGCATCTGTTGTTTCCTTACTCCCTGGCTTAATGTGGTTAATTTGCAGGGTCTGTGAGAACATACCGATTGTTCTGTGTGGGAACAAGGTGGATGTGAAGAACATGCACGTGAAGTCGAAGCAAGTCACATTCCACAGGAAGAAGAACTTGCAGTACTATGAGATCTCAGCAAAAAGCAACTACAACTTCGAGAAGCCTTTCTCTATCTCGCCAGAAAACTTGTCGGGTAATTAAACAAGCATTGTCCTTAAGTTTCCAGTGACATTCCTTTTTCTTGTATCTATGAGCATTGTCCTTAACTTTCACGTTTGTGACAAATATATCCACAACTTTCACGCTCTCAATCTGCGTCGAGGGGGGGGGGGGGGGGGGGGGGGGGGCGAGCTGAGGTCACTCTATTAGTTGGTAACCCGATCCATTTTAGGACTTGCTGATGATACTGCCCCATCCAGGATATCACCTGGAATTATTTCCCTGCAAAGATAACCCAATTCCAATCGACCAAGACAATTGTCATACTCTGATGAGGTTGATTGAGTAGTAGTATCAACTTCTTAAGAAAAAATGGTGTTCTTTTTTACTCACACGCCAACTAAATATTTATGCAGTCCCATTAATTCATTAATCCTTTTTTTTGCATACAATTCATCGATCGCTCTTTATTTCTTCACACGTTAGTTGATCGGCTTATGATTGTCCCGTAAATTCTTGGATAGGAAATAGGAATGATGGATGTTGTGTATATCAAAGCTCACGTCATACATAAACAGATTGCACATGCGTGCCCAAAAACTTGCAAAAGCACTCAAAAGACAATTCCAATATTGCTTAGTATTGTTTGATGGTATAGCCATACTTTTGTTCACATAATCTCCAAACCCCATCATCACATCACTTTCAGTCATAATAAAACCATGTCTTGATTCATTGGGAAGATGAGGCGAACCTTCATTTAATTCACCTGCTTCTACTCTCGCTACATAATCCTGTTAATCCTTATATGATAAATTCTATACAGAGATGATGAATCGCGAAAAAACTTGATGTGGAGCAACTCGCAACTAGTAAAATATCAATCGAAAACTAATTTAATTTAATAACTCGAGTTCTTAAGAGATCAAACACATTATATTAAATGTAAACCTTTTGAATTCATTTATTTGATGAATCGCACAATAAAAAAAACTCAGCACCAAAAAAGGCATGCAGAAACACATATATAAACTCCTCCTAAAACATTATACAATTCCCAGTTTCCCCATATCTTTTTTTATACCTCCAAATTTTATTCTCAAGATTTTACTTTTCAAATTAAAGGAGTAAATTATTAATTATACCTTCCTCTCTCTTTGTCTATCTATTCATATTCCCCCCACATCCCAAGAGCGAAGCCGCCTTCACCAAAAGACCCCATTGCCAGCTCGTCTCGTCCCAATCCCAATATAATATATCCACATTTAGTAACTGTTGGGATGAATAACTTTGAAAAGCTATAATGAAATTCCTAATTAATTATCAAGTATTTTCCCCATAATACGAAAATAAGATGGATAATTAATAAATGGAATATTATGAAGATAATTAGGAATAATTATCTTAATAGATTATATTTTAATTATGGGAGTAATTATATCCCTAATTAAAATGTGACTTATTCCTAAAGAAAGAGGGAATATTCTGGGTTTTCTGCTCCTATAAATAGCAGACCCCCCAGATCCTCTAAACACACCTCAGAAGAGCAGAAACACGGGAGAGAGTGAATTCATAGAGCTCCGGTTTTTTCACAAAACCGATGAGCAATAAATAAGAGTGGCTGTTTTATCCTGGAGGCGACCGACTGATAGTCTGCTGTGCGAATTATGAGGCAGTGCCGCGAACGTCTTAAAGAGAGCGACCTAGTCCACGACTCAGCCAGATCGGTAACCCTAATTTTTCCTGTTCGATTTCTAACAATTTAAAGACGCTTGGTTGCTGTCATGTGTACCGAATAGGATGCCAATTATGGCTTGAACGATTCATCGCTCCGTAGCCACACCCAACCCTTCATCTCAATCTGCGCCACAACGAAAGGGAAGGGCCGGCGTAAAATCCGTCTTCTTTCGCATCTTCATCGCTCGGATAGCATTCAAAGCTAATTATCTGATGAAGAAGCTGAGTGATTTGCAGCAGGAGTGCGTCGCCGCCTGCGGCGATGAGGAGGCGGTGGCTAGCTTGGACGTTACGATTGAGGTCGTGTAGACAGAATTGGAGAAATAAAGGGGAGTGACTTCTCCGAGAAAAAGCCAATTCCACTGCCAACGACTCGCTGATTCCTCTTCCCCTCTACCTGGAATAAGCGAACAACACTAAGAAGCCGCCACTCTCCTCTTTTCCATTAGGCTTGACCTCGGTTGTTGAGAGCAGCAACTCTCTATTTTTGTCTCGATTTCATCTTCTGCATTGCAAGCAGAAGCTTCCAGCGAAAGGTTTCGGATCTTCAGCGACATCGGAAAGAAACGATGTGGGTCACCCTCAACAATGGCTTGAAGATGCCCATCGTGAGGCTGGGAGTGTGGCGTGTCGCAACCGCCCCTTTGGGAATCGGGGCGATCCGTCGCGAGCTGATCGGAGTCGCCATCGACCATATTTGGGGTGGGTCGAACACCCTTTTCTAGTTTTAATTTTTTTAAAACCAGAATTCTGGTATGCGAATTTTAGATTGTTCTAGATTCAGGAGTACGGTTACGTGTGGGGAAGTGTATTCACACCCCACAACGCCCCATAACGGGTACTACTTAAATCGATAAGTTTTAAAAGGGTTGGGTGCAATATTAATTGGGATTTGTTTGTGTATTTAAACGTAATATTCGATTATTTTTAATTAGTTTGAATGTAAATTGTTAGAGTCCAATTGGACGATGTTATTGGTATGAACTTGAATTTAAAGTTACCGGTTTTTACGTCTATTGACGTAAAATGGTTTTTTAGATTGGTTGGACTCGAACCTATCGGTTGCCTACGTACCTGGGTTAACCGGGATCAAAGTCCACAAAGTTCGAAATAAAACTTTGATGATTTAGCAAGTAAATTTTAACCACGTTCCATCGATCATGGCTCTTGACTTTGATTCGTTTTAAGTGTAATTTTTATCGCTTTCCACTGAAAGTGATTATCGCATTATAATTTCGTTAATGAAATTTAAGTTTATGTCTTGCAAGGATTTTAGTATTAGGAGGTAATTCGATGCATTGGACAAGAAACGAGATAAACTTAATCCGCATCTTAACATTTCGTATTAAGGATATTAAATAATAAAATTAAATGGGAGGATTAAATTGACGCATAACAGGCGAACAGCCTAACTAGCTGGGGTGGTGTCAGGTCGAGTTCTAATCCGAGAATGGATGTTCGAGACCCGCAATCTCCATTTTTACCGATTTTCTCTTTTGGTGCGGCTAAAGGGGGAAGGACAGTTTCGTAAAAGGCCAAAAACGCGGTGGCAAGGGAGTGTAATTAAAGCGAAAACCTTGGGATAAGTTAGTCTTTTTTGGGTGAGTATAAATTCGTCTCTTAAGTTGAAATTGGAAACCCTAACCTAATCAGACCAAAAGCGGCCGCCTCTCACTTCACTCTCCCTCAATCCTCTCGCTTCTCTTCCAGAGAATCAACCGAAAACCCTAGCCACTTCTCTTAGTCGCCGTTCAACTATCTCGTCCAAAATCAACCAAAACCCTAACGAAACACCGCTCTCCCCTTTACTCCTATCCTCACTCGCTCGTCCCCTTTCCATCCTTCCTGAAGAAAAGCAAGCCAAAACCCTAGAAGCCTATCATCAAAATGAAACCGCCGCCATCTATAACTACTCAATCACCTTATTTCTGGAGGCGGCGAGTAAAAGGAAGGCGTCGCCGGCGGCACCCGACTACAAGCGCTGCCAACGACGATGGCTAGGGAGTCCTAGAGGTTTGATTTTTGCTTGAATGTTCGATTTCCTTCAGGTTTGACTTAAGGCTTTGGAGTTCTTACTCTTATCTCTTGTTTTTTTGGAAACTGACTCTAAACCGAGGAAAAGTCTTTTGATTCTGGTTAAAGACACGATAATGACTAGGGGATCTGACCTCTGGTAAGCTTAATCGGACATGCATCACATGTTTGCCTGATTTAGATACTTAAATCGGGTTTTTAACTGGTTTTAATCTTGTTTTGTTTTTTATTTTAGGTTGCTCGGGCTTCTGCCGAGAGAAGGAAATGAAAGGCGACGGTCGCCGGCGGCGTGGACTACACCACAGCCGACGGCGAAGGCTTTAGGTAGATTCTGGTGTTGTGCTTTTTTTATCTTGGTTTTTCATTTGGAGTTCTGACTCTAGACTTCTCTGATTTTGGAGATTCAGGATGAGAACTTCACAGGTGAAATCCCCTATATTTTTTTTTGCTGAGCACATAACTTAGCAAAAAACAGATTTTAAGTGATTTATATCATCATAAGAAGCAAGGTAAAAGGGGTTTAGCAAAAGCTAAAGCTCTTGCCAGACTGGTTAAAAATAATATCTAAGTGTTAGATTTCAACTAAAATCTTGAGTTTAAGATATAGGGGAATCCCTTTAAAACAAAAAAAGGTATTTTAAAATACCTTTCAAAAATTGTTCTTGCTTGTATGGTAACAGGTCCTTATTTCTGGTTTCTTTTTAGTTATCTGAGCTTAATAAAAACGAGAACTTTGGGATTGGCAGATTACTTAAACTACCTAGTCAATGATTAGCAAGTTTGGGTAAGATATAGTGTTTTAAGGTGTGTCATATTTAAATATATTAGTGGTAAAAGTAGTGTATAAACTAAACAACAAAGGTTGGTTGATGCCAACATCTACATATGTTTTGAGTTTACTGTTTTTTCTTATTTTAATCGAAGAGCTTGGATGCTTCTTTGAGATGAGTTTCTTTAGTTAATATACTTGGAAAATAAAACAGACAGTTGCAGAAAGTAAGAAACGAGTTTAGGAAGCCAAGAAAATAAGCATGGAAAGTAGAACAAGCAAGCTTAGGAAGTAAAGAAACAGATATAGAAAGCATAGAAAGTAGAACAAGCAAGCTAAGGAAGCAAAGAAACAGATATAGAAAACATAGAAAGTAGAACCAGCAAGCTTAGGAAGTAAAGAATCAGATATAGAAAGCATGGAAAGTAGAACATATATTGGTGTTTTTAAGTATGTAGGGCTTGAAGTGGTGATGATGATTGTTTTTTAGTGATGAGAAAACCTACCCTGTGATTGGGATGGTGGTGGTGGTTTGTTTGTTTCCTTCTGTTGGTCTCTACTGGTCCTAGCTTCTTTGCTTCAGTCGCTTTCTCCTGCTCCACCTTGCTTGGAAGCTTTTGTGTGGGAACATAAAAGGTGAGGGGTGGAAGTTTTCTTTTTTACTTTTACAAGCTTGCTGGGTTCTTACTCAAACTCTGCTCATGATCTTAGGGAAAGTTGGGGAAAGTTGGGGCGGAGGTAAATGGTTTTTTTTTTGGTGCTCTTCTTTACTGCTTTTTACTTCTTTGGGATCCGAATGAGGATATCTGTATCTGCTCTTCTCTGCTGCCCAGGCATGTTGTATTTATATTGGGAATGTACTGTAGCTACAGTAACCGACCTGATTCAGATCGAACCAGGGTTTGAGTCAAATGGACGAACCGGTCTGGGTTGGATACAGATCTGACCGGGTCGATCCGTTGACCGGGCCTTGACCAAATTGAAGGGCCTGACTGGGCTTGACCAATCTGATGGGCCTGATTGGGTTTGGGTTGGACTTTGGTATGGACCTGACTCAAATTTGATTATCTTTAATTATTTATTTATTTATTTATATCATTTTTTTTGCAGGCCTATTTTCTAGACTTTTAGGGCCAAAAATGATGACCTGAGAAAACCAAATCCAAATAGGATGGTTCTCAAAATCTGATTTCGCCCTTAAGTTTAAAACGAAAGAAAAGTTTTCAAAACCAATGGCCATGTTATTTTTTCGTTATCTTCCTATTATTGTAATTAGTTATGATGTAATCTTTATGAAGTTTGGTGATTATGCGATGTTGTACATTAATTTCAATTGTTGTAATGGTTATGCATGTTTATCATAAATGTAAATAATATTATTTCACTAGTTAGTTCGTCATTTGTCAAGCGATACTCCAACTTGATACTCCAAATTCGAAAGCCTAACGTCCAAAGACCACAAACCGATCAAGAATATAACGAAAATAAAGCAATTGCCTCACAAACTTTATCCCAACAATCTGCCTAGAATAAAAGGAGATAAGATTTTAGTTGCGATAACCTATATTTAAAATGGAATCTTAAGACTTGCTATTGCTAAATCCAAAGACCCAAATTACATATTTTTATATTCTCATGTTAGATATTCTGAGCATATTTAATAGTTCATCCAAAATTAGCAATTGCTTATCTTAAACGAGTTAAATTCTTCGAAATTTAGAATATTATAGCCCAGACAAAATGGGGTGTCTACAGTTGCCCCCCTTTGTATACCTCTTAAAAATTTGAGAGGTGTACAAAGTTATTCGTACACACCAATTTTGGCCAATTTATCAACTGTATACCGTTATTTGAGCAGACTGAGGCGTTCACGTATTCGTATAAAAGGAGCGGTAAATCGGTAAGCCCTTGAAGAGGCAATGGCTGAAAAGGGATTACTTGTTCCAATATGACGGTAGAGTCTGATTTGATTTTCATGGCGTTACCATGGCGGTATAGCCTGATTTTTCTGTGGCGGTAGGGCCTGATTCGGTTCTCAATGGCGGGGCGCTTCCAGGGCGGTATAGCCTGACTTTTTTGGCGGCAGCAGTAAGGCCGTAACAATGATGAAGACGTCTTAGAGTAATACTCTAATCATAATTGGTATACAACGAGGTTTAAATGAAGCAACGTGCTAAAGAAGTTTTGTGGACAAGGTATGCTTGGCTCTTGAAAATGTCCTTAACCTTAACTTCGCTAAAAACAGGAAGCTTGACGCGTTGAAAAATGGTAGTGGTTCGCACAGCGTGATATTATATGATGCGATGTGATGTTATGCTTGTAATGAGCTATAATGATGAATGTGCACGTTTATTTGAAGGCAAGCTTATAATGACATCTTGTTTGGCCATGGGTTTCCTTTAAACTGATGACCCACAAGAGAAAGAACCAATTCCTCGGGTTGTTTTGGCGCTGCACAATGCACATTGTATTTTCTTAGGCCATAAAGAGGATCATCACCGGTGCTCCACCCATTTGTTCGACCATCGGTAATTTACCCTAATGGCGCGCGGGTCCCTCGCCGTTTGAAATCGTATGTCAAATTCCTGGCTGGTCTCATGCGCTTGAGTGGGGTCATTGGAGGCGTTGTTGGATATCTTGTATCAGTTGATTCTGGATTCATAATGGGTATTGACCCTTCATTTGGGCTTAGAATAATCCACTGCCATAAAGTCATGGATCTATAGAAAATTCTAAACTGAGCTCCTCATGCCCATTTCGTTCGGATATCTTGTGGTTAAGTCTTAAAGCGAAGATCGTAATGACAATGAATTGACAATTTGACTAGAAGAAAAGGATGGATCGTGATAAGGGAGTATCTGGTGCGAATAATAAAAGAGAAGGTTATATTTATTAAACGAGAAATGACAGGATACATGGAAAATTGGAAAAGCGCAAAATACATCTCATGATTAAACAATTTATTCTGTTCTTATCCTCTTATTCATATGGAATCGACTGCAATTTATCGGCTTGCCCCCTTATGCGTAGTATTTCTTGACTGAGTCGGAATTCACTGGATGTGTCAACTCGTCTCCATCCATATCTGTCAAGATCAAAGCCCCTCCGGAGAAAGCTTTCTTCACTACATAGGGCCCCTCGTAGTTTGGTGTCCACTTTCCTCTTGGGTCTCCTTGTCGCAAAGAGATCTTCTTTAAGACGAGTTCTCCCTCTTGAAACTGTCGGGGTCTTACTTTCTTCTCAAATGCGCGGATTAACCTTCGCTGGTATAGGTGTCCGTGATGAATGGCCCTTAACCTCTTTTCTTCAATTAAGTTCAGCTGGTTGTACCTTGCCTCAACCCATTCAGAATCCTCTAGTCCTGCTTCCTTTATCACCCTTAGGGATGGGATTTCCGCTTCTATTGGTAGAACAGCTTCCATTCCATAGACAAAGGAGAATGGGGTTGCCCCCGTTGATGTTCTCACTGTAGTTCGATACCCATGTAGAGCGAATGGTAACATGTCATGCCAATCCCGGTATGTGACAACCATCTTTTGGATGATCTTTTTGATGTTTTTATTTGCTGCTTCAACGGCACCATTCATCTTGGGTCGATATGGTACTGAGTTGTTATGCTTGATCTTGAACTGTGCGCATAGTTCATCCATCATTTTGTTGTTGAGATTTTTGGCATTGTCAGTAATCAATCTTTCTGGCAATCCGTAGCGACAAATGATCTCCTTTTTTATGAACTTGACCAACACACTTCTTGTTATGCTTGTGTAGGAGGTAGCTTCCACCCATTTGGTGAAGTAGTCTATCGCGACTAAAATGAAACGGTGTCCGTTGGCAGCTTTGGGTTCGATCATCCCTATGACATCGATTCCCCATACGGCAAAAGGCCAAGGAGAGGACATGGCGTGTAGTGGTACTAGCGGGACATGGATTCCGTTTGCATATATTTGACATTTGTGACATTTTCGGACGTACCGAATACAGTCTGCTTCCATTTTTGTCCAATAGTAACCCATCCTTAGGATTTTTCTAGCCATGACATGCCCACTTGCGTGTGTCCCACATATGCCCTCATGTATCTCCTCAACTACCTTTTGGGCCTCTTTAGCGTCCACGCATCTGAGTAAGGTTGAGTCGAAGTTACTTTTGTAAAGAGTTGAATCACTCAAGTAAAACCCACATGCCAACCTCCTAATTGTCCTTTTGTCGTTCTCGGATGCCCCTGGCGGGTATTCTTTTTTCTGGATGTAGGTCAGTATGTCGTGGTACCACGGTTTACTGTCAGGCTCTTCCTCTACATTCGCGAGATATGCAGGATTTTCTCGTTTCTCAATCCTGATACAAGGCGTTTCTCTCATTTCTTCCGTCTTATACATTGATGCCAACGTAGCTAAGGCATCCGCAACTTGATTTTCTACTCGTGAAACATGCTCGAACTCTATTTCTTCAAATTGTGACGCCAATTCTTTGATGAATTTCTGGTATGGGACTAGTTTGTAATCCCGGGTTTCCCATTCTTCTTTCAACTGGTAGATTACTAGTGCTGAATCTCCAAACACTTTCAACTTCTTAATCCCCATTTCTATAGCTGCTTGGATGCCGAAAGCGCAGGCCTCGTATTCTGCTATATTGTTGGTGCATGTGAAACAAAGTTTAGCCGTAATGGGAAGTATTCTGCCTTCTGGGGACATAAAAACGACCCCGACTCCATGACCCAATGCGTTGGATGCCCCGTCAAACTTCATAACCCACGTTTCCTTTGAGTCATCCGCTAGTCTTTCTTCTTCCGTTGTCATGATGTTTTCATCTGGGAAATCCATCATGAAGGGATCGGCATCTATAATGGCATGTTCCGCTAGATGATCTGCGACGACACTTCCTTTAATAGCCTTTCTCGTCATGTAAACGATGTCGTATTCGGCCAAAAGGACTTGCCACCTAGCGAGACGTCCTGTTAGGGCAAGCTTCTCGAAAACATTATTGATGGGGTCCATCTGAGACACCAGGTGGGTAGTATGGTACAACATGTATTGCCTTAACCTTTTTGTTGCCCAAGCTAGAGCACCGCAGGTCTTTTCTAGCGCATTATATCTTCTTTCACACTCGGTGAACTTCTTGCTAATGTAGTATATAGCGAATTCTTTCTTGCCAGGAGCTTCTTGTTGTGCCAACATTGCCCCCATAGAGTTTCCGGACACTGATAGGTATAAAGTTAAGGGTTTACCTGGGATTGGAGGTACCAAAACCGGCGGGTTCAGCAATTAATCTTTGATTTTACTAAACGCCTTCTGGCAATCTTCATCCCATTCGCATGGTTGATTTTTTCTTAATAATTTGAAGATAGGCTCGCACGTCGACGTCAACTGCGAGATGAATCTGCTTATATAGTTTAAACGCCCAAGGAATCCTCTCACTTCCTTCTGGGTTCGTGGGGGTGGCATTTCGACGATTGCTTTCACTTTGTCGGGGTCGACTTCGATTCCATTTTGACTTACTAGGAATCCCAATAGTTTTCCTGAAGTAACCCCGAATGTGCATTTTTCCGGGTTCAACTGAAGCTGATACTTTCGTAATCTCTTGAAAAGCTTTCTTAGAATCTCTACATGGTCCTCTCCTGCTCGAGATTTGGCTATCATATCGTCCACATAGACTTCTATTTCCTTGTGCATCATGTCGTGAAATAGGGCGACCATCGCTCTTTGATAAGTGGCCCCTTCGTTTTTTAACCCAAAAGGCATCACTATGTAGCAAAATGTTCCCCACAGTGTAACAAAAGTTGTCTTTTCCATGTCTTCTGGAGACATCTTGATTTGGTTGTATCCCGAAAATCCATCCATGAATGAGAATAGTTCATGATTAGCCGTGTTATCGATCAAGACATCGATGTGTGGTAGTGGAAAATCATCTTTTGGACTTGCATGGTTCAAACCCCTGTAGTCTACGCAAACCCGTATTTTCCCACTTTTCTTCGGGACTGGCACAATGTTGGAGACCCACTCAGGGTAGATGGCTACTCGTAAAACCCAGCGTATACTGTTTCTGAACTTCTTCTTTGACCTTTAGCAGCCATTCTGCCTTCATTCTTCGTAATTTTTGCTTGATGGGTTTGCAACCTTCTCTCAGGGGTAAACGATGTGTCACTATTTTGTCGTCTAATCCCGGCATGTCTTTGTAGGACCATGCAAACACATCTTGGTATTCTTTTAACAAGCTTATGAGACGGTCTTTCACCTCTTGGTTCAAACTGTCCCCAATCTTCACCTCTCTTCTATCTTCCTCTGTTCCCAAATTTATCACCTGAATGGCTTCATTTTGAGGTTGCAAGACTCGCTCATCTTGTTCGGCTACCCACTCCCAGTCTGGGGGCACATCTTCTTCACCATCCGATTCCATTTGATTAATAGGTAAGTCAAAATTGACCGTTAAATCATGAAGGTCCTCAATATTCTCACATTGTTCACATATCCTGGCATGAAACGAAATAATAAATGAATGGAGGGTAATGTGATGAAATGAGAAAGTGAAGACACGCAAGGCTTGAATGCGAAATGCTTGTATTTTATTGAAAATAGGGAAATGTGCTAAGAAATGCACTTATTTGTCATTACATCTTGCCAAAGCTTAACTGATATTATAGGACTAGCGTCCTTATTGCTTGGTTTTATATGCTAGATATTCAAATTTCACTTTATTGGGCATTACACTGTATCCAGCGAGGTTACTTCCACGATCCTCCAATTGTTCAGCTCTTCATCCGGAAGCATCGGACGAACCAGCTTGGTGTTCCCCGTGTCGACTGCTCCTATCATATTGATTGATAGGTTCTCCAGTATAACGGACATATGATGGTTTTCAGGGACCCCTTCAATCTTATTGGTATTAATTGTTTTCGTGTTGATGATGCCCCCGCTTCTGAACGTCTTGCTTATGTGGGGTATTACCATCCTTTTGTTACCCAGATTCCTCCCTTGGAGATGAGCCAATCTCTTGTCTCGTTTCTCTTCTTGAATCCTTCTTATGTCTCCTTTATTTGGTGAATATCCCAAGCCACACCGGTTCTTGTTCTCCCTAATTTTAAGTGGTGGCCTGATTAAAGTCGTCCACATTTCCTTGTCAACCCATTTGATTATTGACTTGGCGGCCATGATAGATGCTGCAACGAAACTTGGTTTACGGAGTTTGCTTCCCCTCCCTACTTACGTTACATCCTCAATTTCGAGCGATTGGAATGCACTTTCGATAGCTTCTTCGGCGGCCTCGATATAAGGAGCATCTGGGGTTTTGGATACCAGTATGTCCTCCTCTCCGAAGACCTCTATCAGATTACTGTCGACAACGAACTTCACTTTCTGGTGTAATGAAGATGGCACTGCTCCAGCTGAATGGATCCATGGGCGCCCTAGCAGAAGGCTATATGTTGGGCTGATGTCCATCACTTGAAACACAATGTTAAACACTGTTGGTCCAATCTGGATCGGAAGTTCAATCTCGCCAATCACTTTTCGTTTAGTTCCATCAAAAGCTCGAACCATAATGAAGCTGGGTTTGATGTATGACTCGTCAATAGGAAGATGATTGAGAGTTGATTTTGGCATCACATTTAAAGCTGACCCATTATCGATAAGCGCACGAGCTATCATGTGTCCTTTGCATTTTAGGGAAATATGCAAAGCTTTTGTATGGCCTGTCCCTTCGGTGGGGATCTCATCTTCGTTAAATGAAATCTTGCCATTAGCCAGGACCGCTCCTACGATCCCATCCCACTTATCAATGGATACATTATGGCAGACGTGGGCTTGGTTCAAAACTTTCATGAGAGCTTTTCGGTGAGGTTCTTAGGTAAGAATTAGAGATAAAAGAGAAATCCGAGCAGGCATGCGGTTTAGTTGTTCCACTACCTTGAATTCGCTTTGTTTGATCAACTTTAGGAATTCACATGCATCTTCGTCGGAGACTTGGGGCTCATATTCTTCTGGCTCTTTCATCTTTAATATATCCTCACTTTCTTCGACAATCTCAGGATCCAAGGCCCCCGTTATTTTTTGCTTTCCGCGCTTAATTTCCTGCCTTTTGGTTAACTCCTCAATTCTGCATTTCTCCACATCTTCTGGAACATAATGTCTGCCTGATCTTGTTATTCCTCCTATCCCAGTTATATTTGCTGCTTCGTATGGTGGAGTTAAGACCTCTTGGTTCACTTGACAAGTGTAAACCCAAGGTACTGCTTTTGGATCCTCATATTTGAATGGCCCTGGGGTTTTTATGATTAACGGGGCAACGTTTGCGGTTGGTGAACTCTGGATCTTTGCCTCAGGCTGGTAGCAAACCACTTTCTTGGGCGTTTTTGAACCCTCATTTTGCGATGACACCATATCGATTTCGTTTCTATCTTTGCCGATGGTACGAATTGAGATTATTTTTGCATCCATGAGCTGTTGCAACTTGGCTTTGAATTGACCACAATGTTGGATAGAGTGTCCGCCAGATTCCGCGTGATAAGGACACGTACTCTCTTGACCTGGGATAGTAATGCCTCCTTCAGGAATCTCAAGATAACCGTTCTGGGAGAGGATTTTATAGATGAATTCCAGAGGGGTCTTTATTTCTGACACCTTCTTTCGGTCTACACGTTCCTCACAGTTCTCGATAGCATTCGCTCCATGCCCCCCATGGTTTGGTAACGGATTACTGTTGATATTTGGTCGACCTGGTTGTTCTTCAAATTTTAACCATCCGACATTCACTATTTGTTGTACTTTGACCTTCAGTATTCTACAATCTTCAGTCGAATGTCCCGCCACTCCGAAGTGGTATTCACAGTGCTGGTCTGGTTTGTACCAATTAGGGTATGGAGGTTGCATGGGTTCGCACGGTAGTGGGGCGATTAGACGACTTTGCAGCAATTGGGGAAAGAGTTCTGTATAAGTAATAGGAATAGGATCGATCTGAATAGGCTTTCGATATGTTCTAGTATCATTTTGGTCTCGGTTATTTGTTTGGGGTACCACAGTGGAGGATTTTGAGCAGCTGATGGTGAGGTGAAATTTGGGCGATGGGCAACTGGTGGGGTGTTGGCAACGTAGGCATGAGTTTGATCATTTTGTTGGTTCCACCTCCTCCCTTTGCTAGGTTCTCCTTGAACTGAATGAATCTCTCCTTCTCTTCTTCGAGCCAGATTTGCTTTCTTTATAGTCTCCGGGCCCTCCATCTTACCTTGTTTGATACCTTTTTCGATTCGTTCTCCGATCGTCAACAGATCCGTGAAGCAAGTAGTTGTGGTCCCTACCATATTGTTGTAATATGGGGGTTTCAGAGTTTCAAAGAAAACAGATACCATTTCCTTCTCCGTAAGTGGGGGTTGGACATCTGCCGCTTTTTCTCTCCAACGGTGGGCGTATTCTCGAAAAGATTCATTCTCTTTTCTCTCCATGTTGCGCAAATCCTCTCGATCTGGTGCTAAATCTTGATTATGCCTGTAATGTTTCATGAAAGCATCTCCCAGATCTTGCCATTTTTTCACTCTTGTTCTTTCGAGTTGCATGTACCACCTTATGGCTGAGCCAACTAGGCTGTTCTGAAAACAGTGTATCATGAGTTTGTCATCTCGAGCATGATTAGCCATCTTGTTACAGTACATAACTAGGTGGTTCCTCGGACAAGTAGTACCATTGTATTTCTCGAAATCAGGCATTTTGAACTTTTGGGGTATGACCACATCTGGGACTAAACATAACTGTGTAGCATCAGTGGGTCCATATGATTCTATCCCTTCAATTGCCCTCATTCTCTCATCTAAATATTCCCATTTTTCTTTTAGTGCCGAATCTTCCATGTATCCCTCGACTTTCTCTGGGTCATCATTTGTTACTGTAATTTTCTCTTCCTTTTTAGGTGTGCCTTCTGGTGTAATGAGGATGAACCTTTTTGATGAGCCATCTCCCTTGGGTGGCACATACTTATCATCCTCCTCGAACTCTTCGTCCTCTTCTTCTTCATTAATGACCGGCTCCTTTTTCTTTTTGGACATCATCTTAATCAATAAGTTTAGTTGGTCCTTCATCTCGTCGACCCCCGCCAACTTCTCGTGTAACTTCTCAACCCCTACTAACTTCCCCTTTATATCATCAAGCTGTTTTTGGAAAGCTTCCATGACGATCTCGATCTTGGATCTTGTCAAATATGCGAAGTCCTGATTTTTCTCTTGTAGATGCGCAATTTTAGCGAAACCCCCTGGCCAACCGATATCGTTAATTTTAATGGGGTTATTTTAATGAGAATGTCATGTAAATGTGATGAATGCAAAAATGTGGGATACTATTTAATCATGTATGGATGCAAATCTAAAATTTGTCAACAAGATAAAAAAGATCCATTTGGGAACCTACGTTATTACAAAACGGGATCTGTCTGGTACCCCTCCTTGTCCGAAAGTATTGTCATAACACATCCTCCTTTCTACTACCGAACCAAATTATTACACACCGCCTTCTACCCAGGTACTACCAAGCCCTTATTACATCCAAGTCACATAATTCAAACTATTACATATAACCACTGAACATACGTCTTTAGCCTTTAAAAGTGGAATTGGCTATAGTACATAAGCTCTTGCTGGATCTTCTCGAGGGAAGTTTGGAGGTTGTTTTCCGGGTTTTCCGATTGAGAAACTTGTTGCCTTACTTCTTCAATTTGAACTGATAGCCCATGTGCCCTTCTTGTTGCATCGGTGACTAACCCCTTGAGGCAATTTACTTTGGCAGTCTCATTGAGGTAATTGTTCTCTGCCGCTTGTGCCATATTTTGCCACCCATGCCCTTCTGCCTGGAGCTCTTCCTTTTTATCGATTAACTGGTTGACCTGCTGTTGAAGCCTTTCAACCTCTTTATAATATCTATTTATAGCCAATTCCCGTCGCTGGCCCATCTCTTCTAACTGGTTTACCCTTTCCCCGAGAGCGACATTGGCCTCATGCTGTTCATTTATTGTGATCCTCTGTTGACGACGAGTGTTCTCCAAGCTTTCTACCTTCCTTTTCAAAGTCTCATTGATGGTCTCGAGATTTCTTTCTTTATCACCCCTCCCATTCAGGTGCATCTTCATTTCATCATTTTCCCTTTGTAGCCTGCTTATTTCCATATCTTTTGCAACCGTGCTTCCATGTAAGTGGATTCTAGGAGGTAGTGCCGACTCATAAGTCACTTTTCTCTTTCCTTTCATCCTCATGGTAAGAGCTCTTCCCCTGTTTTCACTCCAGGTTGCATATTCTGGAGCCACAGATGAGTGAAGGTCTGGAAATCTTCTATTGTATTCATCGCTCATTGTATGATCGATGAGCCTTGGTTGCTTCCATAACTTTATGGCATTTTTACTCTTTGTCTCCACATCCGGATCTGAGTAAGTGAAGTTCAACTCTCCCATTCCGCCGGTCATCGGAGTGAATTGAAGACAACCGACCTGCCTCCTAAACATGTTTGGTGCATACGCCACACATCCGGTTGGCCCTAGTAATGGTACCCAATGCTTCTCATCAAATCCATATAGGATACATTCTCCAGTCATCCATGGTGCCTTCCATGACATATTGTGCTTCCCGAATGAAGCAAAGAAATCTCTCCATTGACCAGCAACAACTTGCATGTAAATTGGTGATGTTCCAGTGAATTCTTGAATTGATCTTCTATAGCCATCATACACCAATGCATACTGGACATCTGGAGTTCCATGACTAGGAGAGGGCTTGAGATGCCCAAAGAGCCATACCACGAGCAAGGATGTGCACCCATATAAGTAACCTCCTTCGGAGTAACGACATCGACTAAGGGCGATGAGAGTCTCAGATAATATTGAGGTGATGGGGTTGGCGTCGATCAAATTTTGTTGGAGCACCTTGATGGCGAAACTGTCGACATAGTTAGGCAGGCTGGGATAGAGTATGAACCCATATATAAGCAGAGCAAACGCCTCCATGTGGCATCCGATTTTTGCTGTTTGGTTGAGGTATGGCATGAGTTGATTCATGTGAACTCGTTCCGGCCCACCGCTTGACTCTGTCATGTTTTGAACCCGTTCTTTGTCGATCCCCAGTATTCTTGATAGTGCCTTTTTCGTGTTCTGCTCTGGCCGGTTCACATATATCTTGTATGACTGGCTTATATTTATCTGCAGGATTGATTGATATTCCTCGAGCAGCGGGGAAAAGTTCAATTGATGGACAGAGAAACAAATGTAGAACGGGTCCCAGTAATTTAGGATTTCCTGGATCATGTCGGCTGGGAACGGTACATCGAGTAGATCAGCCATTTGACCATATCTCTGTTCAAATGTCGCTCTTTCTCGTTGAGTGAATTGTTGCCATGCTTGCCTCAGTATATGAATTGGGTTATCAATAATCTCTACTGATCCCATGGGTCGAAGCTCTATTCTTTGCATTAACCTGTCTCCTTTATCTTTTTGTTCCTTAATTGACTGATCCATCACACTCTTTTCTCCCTGAACCAACAGATATGCCATCTTGCAATAACGAAGTTCCAAAACAGAAATTTTATCTGGTGACAAAACCTAATCATGAGATTAACCGTTAGTAATCAATATTATATTCTTAACAAATGCAGATGCATGTATGCAATGTTATGATTGTCGCGCACAGTTAAAATTGAATCAACCATATAGACGTTAAATACAAAATAAGACTTTTCTTCGATCAACTGGGACAAACTTCCGTTATTTACAGAATATATAAAAAGGTGGCGTCACTAGCCACTATATCCCAGGCATCCTTCCCATTACTATAATAAATGGAAAAGGCATCAAGGCCGCATGCTCCTTTCTGCGGAGGGGCCTCGGGGCAAAATTTTCAAAAGTGTTGACCTTCCTTCCAACAAGTTGACCTCCCGAAGGCCTCTTATCTTCTTACTGATGTGGGAGCGCTGGCTCCGGGAGAAGCACATCCTCAATGAAAGCTTGTTCGATCAAATAGGCATGAGCTGTTGCCACTCGCCTCAGGCCATAATTATTTTGCTCTATTAAGTTGTTTGTCATGGTGAGTGTTGGTAAGTAACACTCCTTGATCCTCCCATCGTAGTGATATCCTTCTGGGGTCATGAGCACTGCTGGAACTTGACGTGGTAAGAGGTGGTTCAGATCACGAAGTTTTTCTTTCAGATGTATCCAATATCTGGGCACCCTAGACGGCTCGATTGTCGGGTTCTCAATCGAGCTTCCTTCTAGTACGGCCCATGGGACCTCCACCAGTTCAAAACCCTCTTCGACGACCTGAACTTCCCTGTTTATATGAAGTGTAATGGCCATATAGTTCAAAGTCCTTGGCTCCATTACGAGCCCAAACCATCCGCCGAGTTGGGCGTGCTCGAGGAGCCATCTTCCGAAGATATTGATGTTGTCTGGAAAGAGAATCCATTGCTGGATACATCGTCTCAATGTGGGTTTATGAAGGATAATTCCTATGTGATTCAACCGCACCATATGCCTCAGCATACAATAAACTTCTTTTGACATCTCTTGATACTCGTTTAATGGTATATAGAACAAATTCATGCACATTAGCTCCGGATACCAATTGAGGTGCTTCACCGGAGCATCGTAGTATCCATGGGTATTGATTAGTTCCCTCTTTGAACTTTCAACAAAGGACTCCGAATACCCTTTGAGAGTCCTAAACATGATGTCCAGTGCGATCTCCACCGGCAGCCTCCTCATATTGTCTATCATCGAATCTGCCCATGCGGGTCCGGGCATGAAGTTGGGGATGATAGCTATGTCGAAGTTGGCTAGGTTTCTCGCCATTTGATCGATCTAACATTATACATAATAGATTCCAAGTTAACTGTGCGCGATAATCATAACATGAGAATGCATGATGATGGTGATGCATGCGTGTTGTTGTCAATGTAGATTCCTTTCATTGTTTCGAAATTTTTTTTTATAATAATGAGAAAGAAACAGACCCAAATTGTAGTACATTTAAATAACGACAAGAAATAAAAAAGGCAATAACATTTAGCAATTAGAAAAAAAACGAGCAATAAATATGTAACACTTGTACTAATAAAACAAGATAGTTAGGTAGCCCTAGGGATTTTTCGGCAGCATAACGTCGTGTTTTCGGGTAGGCTCTGGGATTAAGTTGTGGCTTAGGCAGTTTCTAGGCAAACTATATGCTGGATAGGGGACCTTAAGGAATTAGGCTCCCAAGTTGTACCACACTATCACCCTTTCGAGTTTTAGCATGATACCCCAAATCATCCTCGGATTTGAGTTCAACCTGGTTGGGAAGTTTTCGCATTTCCCCTACTATTGTAGGAGTCACACTACTTCCTTCCCTTTTTGCTATAAGGACCGCTCGGGAATAGAGCTTTTATGAATGGATGCAAAGAAAAAAAAATTGAAATGCATAACAAATTTAAAGCGCAAATTGATATAGTAAACACATAATACCCATGAAAAGAAAGTAAGAAAAACTTATCGACGATTAATGTAGTTTGACTCAGGTATGTCCCCAGCGGAGTCGCCACTGTCGCAACCGCCCCTTTGGGAATCGGGGCGATCCGTCGCGAGCTGATCGGAGTCGCCATCAACCACAGCTTGGGGTGGGTTGAACACCCATTTCCGGTTTTGTTATTTAGGTTAAAACCAGAAATCTGGTCTGCGAATTTTAGGTTTATGGGTTCGAGAGTACGGTTACGTGTGGGGAAGTGTATTCACACCCCACAACGCCCCATAACGGGTACTACTTAAATCGATAAGTTTTAAAAGGGTTGGATGCAATATTAATTGGGATTTGTTTGTGTATTTAAACGTAATATTCAATTATTTTTAATTAGTTTGAATGTAAATTGTTAGAGTCCAATTGGACGATGTTATTGGTATGAACTTGAATTTAAAGTTACCAGTTTTTACGTCTATTTACGTAAAATGGTTTTTTAGATTGGTTGGACTCGAACCTATCGGTTGCCTACGTACCTGGGTTAACCGGGATCAAAGTCCACGTAGTTCGAAATAAAACTTTGATGATTTAGCAAGTAAATTTTAACCACGTTCCATCGATCATGGCTCTTGACTTTGATTCGTTTTAAGTGTAATTTTTATCGCTTTCCACTGAAAGTGATTATCGCATTATAATTTCGTTAATGAAATTTAAGTTTATGTCTTGCAAGGATTTTAGTATTAGGAGGTAATTCGATGCATTGGACAAGAAACGAGATAAACTTAATCCGCATCTTAACATTTCGTATTAAGGATATTAAATAATAAAATTAAATGGGAGGATTAAATTGACGCATAACAGGCGAACAGCCTAACTAGCTGGGGTGGTGTCAGGTCGAGTTCTAATCCGAGAATGGAGGTTCGAGACCCGCAGTCTCCATTTTTACCGATTTTCTCTTTTGGTGCGGCTAAAGGGGGAAGGACAGTTTCGTAAAAGGCTAAAAACGCGGTGGCAAGGGAGTGTAATTAAAGCGAAAACCTTGGGATAAGTTAGTCTTTTTTGGGTGAGTATAAATTCGTCTCTTAAGTTGAAATTGGAAACCCTAACCTAATCAGACCAAAAGCGGCCGCCTCTCACTTCACTCTCCCTCAATCCTCTCGCTTCTCTTCCAGAGAATCAACCGAAAACCCTAGCCACTTCTCTTAGTCGCCGTTCAACTATCTCGTCCAAAATCAACTAAAACCCTAACGAAACACCGCTCTCCCCTTTACTCCTATCCTCACTCGCTCGTCCCCTTTCCATCCTTCCTGAAGAAAAGCAAGCCAAAACCCTAGAAGCCTATCATCAAAATGAAACCGCCGCCATCTATAACTACTCAATCACCTTATTTCAGGAGGCGGCGAGTAAAAGGAAGGCGTCGCCGGCGGCACCCGACTACAAGCGCTGCCAACGACGACGGCTAGGGAGTCCTAGAGGTTTGATTTTTGCTTGAATGTTCGATTTCCTTCAGGTTTGACTTAAGGCTTTGGAGTTCTTACTCTTATCTCTTGTTTTTTTGGAAAGTGACTCTAAAACGAGGAAAAGGCTTTTGATTCTGGTTAAAGACACGATGATGACTAGGGGATCTGACCTCTGGTAAGCTTAATCGGACATGCATCACATGTTTGCCTGATTTAGATACTTAAATCGGGTTTTTAACTGGTTTTAATCTTGTTTTGTTTTTTATTTTTGGTTGCTCGGGCTTCTGCCGAGAGAAGGAAATGAAAGGCGACGGTCGCCGGCGGCGTGGACTACACCACAGCCGACGGCGAAGGCTTTAGGTAGATTCTGGTGTTGTGCTTTTTTTATCTTGGTTTTTCATTTGGAGTTCTGACTCTAGACTTCTCTGATTTTGGAGATTCATGATGAGAACTTCACAGGTGAAATCCCCTATATTTTTTTTTTTTTGCTGAGCACATAACTTAGCAAAAAACAGATTTTAAGCGATTTACATCATCATAAGAAGCAAGGTAAAAGGGGTTTAGCAAAAGCTAAAGCTCTTGCCAGACTGGTTAAAAATAATACCTAACTGTTAGATTTCAACTAAAATCTTGAGTTTAAGATATAGGGGAAGCCCTTTAAACAAAAACAAGGTATTTTAAAATACCTTTCAAAAATTGTTCTTGCTTGTATGGTAACAGGTCCTTATTTCTGGTTTCTTTTTAGTTATCTGAGCTTAATAAAAACGAGAACTTTGGGATTGGCAGATTACTTAAACTACCTAGTCAATGATTAGCAAGTTTGGGTAAGATATAGTGTTTTAAGGTGTGTCATATTTAAATATATTAGTGGTAAAAGTAGTGTATAAACTAAACAACAAAGGTTGGTTGATGCCAACATCTACATATGTTTTGAGTTTACTGTTTTTTCTTATTTTAATCGAAGAGCTTGGATGCTTCTTTGAGATGAGTTTCTTTAGTTAATATACTTGGAAAATAAAACAGACAGTTGCAGAAAGTAAGAAACGAGTTTAGGAAGCCAAGAAAATAAGCATGGAAAGTAGAACAAGCAAGCTTAGGAAGTAAAGAAACAGATATAGAAAGCATAGAAAGTAGAACAAGCAAGCTTAGGAAGCAAAGAAACCGATATAGAAAACATAGAAAGTAGAACCAACAAGCTTAGGAAGTAAAGAATCAGATAAGCATGGAAAGTAGAACATATATTGGTGTTTTTAAGTATGTAGGGTTTGAAGTGGTGATGATGATTGTTTTTTAGTGATGAGAAAACCTACCCTGTGATTGGGATGGTGGTGGTGGTTTGTTTGTTTCCTTCTGTTGGTCTCTACTGGTCCTAGCTTCTTTGCTTCAGTCGCTTTCTCCTGCTCCAGCTTGCTTGGAAGCTTTTGTGTGGGAACAGAAAAGGTGAGGGGTGGAAGTTTTCTTTTTTACTTTTACAAGCTTGCTGGGTTCTTACTCAAACTCTGCTCATGATCTTAGGGAAAGTTGGGGCGGAGGTAAATGGTTTTTTTTTCGGTGCTCTTCTTTACTGCTTTTTACTTCTTTGGGATCCGAATGAGGATATCTGTATCTGCTCTTCTCTGCTGCCCAGGCATGTTGTATTTATATTGGGAATGTACTGTAGCTACAGTAACCGACCTGATTCAGATCGAAACAGGGTTTGAGTCAAATGGACGAACCGGTCTGGGTTGGATACAGATCTGACCGGGTCGATCCGTTGACCGGGCCTTGACCAAATTGAAGGGCCTGACTGGGCTTGACCAATCTGATGGGCCTGATTGGGTTTGGGTTGGACTTTGGTATGGACCTGACTCAAATTTGATTATCTTTAATTATTTATTTATTTATTTATATTATTTTTTTTGCAGGCCTATTTTCTAGACTTTTAGGGCCAAAAATGATGACCTGAGAAAACCAAATCCAAATAGGATGGTTCTCAAAATCTGATTTCGCCCTTAAGTTTAAAACGAAAGAAAAGTTTTCAAAACCAATGGCCATGTTATTTTTCGTTATCTTCCTATTATTGTAATTAGTTATGATGTAATCTTTATGAAGTTTGGTGATTATGCGATGTTGTACATTAATTTCAATTGTTGTAATGGTTATGCATGTTTATCATAAATGTAAATAATATTATTTCACTAGTTAGTTCGTCATTTGTCAAGCGATACTCCAACTTGATACTCCAAATTCGAAAGCCTAACGTCCAAAGACCACAAACCGATCAAGAATATAACGAAAATGAAGCAATTGCCTCACAAACTTTATCCCAACAATCTGCCTAGAATAAAAGGAGATAAGATTTTAGTTGCGATAACCTATATTTAAAATGGAATCTTAAGACTTGCTATTGCTAAATCCAAAGACCCAAATTACATATTCTTATATTCTCATGTTAGATATTCTGAGCATATTTAATAGTTCATCCAAAATTAGCAATTGCTTATCTTAAACGAGTTAAATTCTTCGAAATTTAGAATATTATAGCCCGGACAAAATGGGGTGTCTACATGGCGAATGGAAGGGAAAGAGATTAAGGACCTAATCCTGAACGCTATCAAGATCGGCTTTCGCCATTTTGATTGCGCTGCTGATTATAAGAACGAGCCTGAAGTTGGGGAAGCGCTTGCTTAAGCTTTCAAGACTGGTCTTGTGAAAAGGGAGGAATTTTTCATCACTACTAAGCTGTGGAATTCGGATCATGGACATGTTCTTGAGGCTTGCAAAGATAGTCTGAAGAAGCTTCAGCTTGATTATCTGGATCTCTACCTTGTTCACTTCCCTGTCGCCACCAAGCATACCAGTTAATTTAGATAGAAGAATGGTTGAATGATTCTGTGCCGGGTGGTCTTCTAATTTTGGAATGAGACCATGGCAGTTGTGAAAGAAAGAACTGCTTGGAAACTAAGGAACATAGACACTATATGTGTTATGCACCGCAAAAGCCAATGAACTTTCGAAAAGAGATAAGATTCAGAACTTTCTTTATGAATCATTATGATGAATGATAAGCTAGAATCTATTTCACTTTAGTTCTATGCATGGTATTGAGAAATCCATATTAATGCGAGAAAGTAAAATAGAATTGATGCATGTATATGTGGTCATTGAGATGTATTACCTGGATGATTAGAGTATAGATAGAATACATGTTGTGGAATAGAATGGTTTTGCTTGAATGCGTGCATATATATGAAGAATATGTGGGGATAGAATGGATTAATTTTCCATAGTGCGATATTGTAAGAAGCACTTTTGTCAGTACTAGATGAACCATTGGGGTTGCTCTGAAACATTAAAGTTTCAAGAATGAGAGCATCAAGCCGAACCAGATCCACACCAAATAGAATGGTACCCTTCGTGGTAACCATAAGATTGCCACTCAATCCTCTAAGAATAACGCTATGTTTCTCAATTAAATTTTAGAAAAACTAGGTCATATGACACGAAAGTGTTAGAGCAAGTTTAACATTGTATTGTGTTAACTTGATTAAAGAAGAGGATTTGGCAATAACAATCGCTTAGGTGATGATAGAGGTTAGCCTTAATGGTAACTCTGGAGAATGGTTGCTGGATACTAGCGCCCCAAGGCATGTTTGTGATAGACGATCTAAGATGGATTCTTTTTTGGGACGTGTGTGTCCCTGTAAAGAATTAGAATATCTAAAGTCACATTCCCATATTATTTTCGAACGCTTAAGAAATTTTGTATCCAAGCAAAATGACCCATAAAATATGTGGTTAGAGAATTAGGAACAATAGATCTGATTTATGTTGATATGGGTAAACTTGATGGAAAAGAAAATAAATAATTTATTGCTCTTTAGAGTGCTCTGATTAATTGTCTAACTAGTTATTCGAAATAGTATGAAATGCCTAGTTTCATTATGATTGCACTGATTATTCGATATGTGGCATGCATGTGGTAGCGTTAGAGAATCGGTGACATGATAACTAGAAGAGCATATGAGTGTGTAAGTTATTGTAAAACACATAAGCCTATGAAATGGAATACTCATTAGTTTGTGAAAACCATTGATGCCAATAGATTCCATTTATATTAAGAAATAGTGGGGATGATATCCTGCCTACTATTAGAAATAATGGATAACTAGTGGGGGTGATGAATCTGAGTATGAACTCAGAAGAGACAAATGAACCATAAATCACGAAAGGATTTTGTTTATGAATTTGTTATTTACACCCTAAGAAAGAAAGATCCTACAAGTCTGCTAGAAGTTCAACTTCTATAAAGATGCAAAATTGTGGGAGAATCCATTATTAACGAAATGGAATTATTGGAGTCTAATAAGACTTAAAATCTTGTAGAGTTACCTCTTGGTTGAAAAGCCTCGGTTAATATATCGATAGAATCGAACAAGATTTGGCATATGTGAGAATTACCTCTTGGAAATGAAGTCATGGGTAATAAATGGATTCTTAAAAGAAAAGTAAAACCTATTGGTTTAGTTTATGAGTATAAGGATCGCCTGGTAGCTAAGGCTCTAGGTGAAGAGGAAAATTATAGATTTCTTTGATATCTATTCACCAAATGTAGAATAACATCCATGTATGGTCTGATTGCTAGTGATGCATTAGATGGATGTTAAATTTGCATTTTGTGAATGGTGATTTAGATAAAGAAATCTACATTGGGACAACTTAAAAGGTTGTTATTCCTTAACATGCTTTTAAAGTCTATGGTGAGACAAATCATGTTATGACTTGAAACAGACTTTAAAGATCATGGCATGGATGGATGATTCTCTCTAATGGTTTTGAATGAAAGTGGCAAGTGCATTTGTTACTAACTTGAGAACGACACTTGCACTATAAAAGACATGTTTCTTTGTTGCAAAGACTCATGACACAAATAAATGTGAAAAACCATGTTGAGTGAGAACCTTGATGAGAAGGATCCAAATGTTTCACTTAGAGATCCAAATGGCTAGGACAGTGAAAGAAATTTTTTATAGATCAATCTAACTGTTTGGTTAAGATCTATAAGAAATACAAGTTATACTCTTGCCCTAAATGTTTGAAGATGCTAGTACAATTTTTAAAAGAGCACAAAAGACGGTGTAAGAAAGTAAGAACATACTAGCATCTATAGTTTGCAAGAGGCAGCTGATAAACATGAGACCCGACATAGTGGGGGTACTTGGCAGGTTTACTGATTGTCCTAGTATGAAGCATTGAAATGCTATTGAAAGTGGTCATGAGATGCCTTAAGAGAACAATAGACCTTGATATACGTTATCAACGATTTCTTGTCATATTGGTAGGGTATATTGATGCGGACAAGAATACCCTATAGAGGACTCCAAGGAATCCAGTGGGCATGTTTTAACATCGCTGGAAGAGTTGTGTATTGAAAGTCTAAGAAGTAAACGATCCTGGCTCAATCAACTAAAGAATCATAAATGATGAAACTAGCAATGGCTAGTAAAGAGGAAAGTTGATTGAGAGGGTCATTACTAGAGATTCCCTTATGGGAAAGACCAATCCCTCCGGTAGTTGATTCATTGTAATAGCACCGCAACTATTGCAAAAGAAGGGAACCGGTTCTAGAACGAAAAGAGACGACAGATTCGTCAAGCAAAGTATTGTAAGAGAACTCCTAACGATAGGAGCAATGAGGGTGGATCATGTAAGATCCTAACAGAATCTAGAGGATCCTTTGACGAAAGGATTACCTAGAGAGAAAAGTCCAAAATACCTCGAAATGTATGAGACTTATGCCTACTGAACCATGGATTACAAGTGATGGTAACCCGACCCGATAGACTGGAGATCCCAAGAAACGGGTTCAATGGGTAATAACAAGTCATGAGTAATATTGAGAAAAGTTCATGCATAGTCAAGCATGAATCCCAAAGCCTTGGAGGTTGAGTTCAACTCTTAATGAGATCTATACTCTATGTGGAGTGAAGTACTTTACTTAGGGGGTACTTCTGATAGACTCACTTATGTGAATGTGGGAGTGAGGCTGCTCCCTATGGAACTTTGGAGGCACAAAGTTGCTAGAGCATTCACTAAACCGGGATGCATGGCCATAAACGCACGGCCTATGAGAGAATATCACCCAATGAAAAGATCCGGTGTGCTACATTGTCTGAGATAGGGTTCAAGACTACGAGTCACCCTTATGAAATCGGAAAGTGTAACCACTACGCTAAGGTTCAAATCTTCGCTATACCTTAGCTTATGCCCGATCTTATGGAACTGTTGATGCTCAAAGATGTTGGGTGAATCGAGCGCGAGATTCCTGTCCTTCTTCTCTGCAATGCACTAGACAAGCTTTTGGATGACCAACAATTAGGGTTTCGATAGTGTTTGGAAGAACATAAAGAAAGTGAAATAAGAAAAACAAGATTTTGATCGAGGTAACCCTTCACCGAGTCTGATTTCTCGTTTCTGTTGTTTGACTCGTTCAATGGGCTGAACCTACTTCAAGCCCACAAGTAATACACCAAGCCTAAATTATTAACAGTTCAGAAAGGACACGACCCAAATATCACTTCCTGTTCTCCGGTTCGTTTTAGTGAGAAACGATGTGTTTTGTCCACACGCTTCTCTTCCTCAGGTTGTCGTTAAGTTGCAGAGACCTGCAGTCAAGAACAGAAAATAGAGTACCACAGTATATGTAAAGTAAAACTAAATTGCAGAATGGACGACACCAAATTTTTACGTGGTATCCGGTTTGCAATGTGCAAAACCGACTAATCCACGGCCAAAGGCACTCAATTTGAGTCGTTTGACGATTCACTAGCACAACGTTCTTTAGAGTTACAGTACACGAAACTGATCCCAAGTAACCTGGAATCACACAATCAGAATTGCTCTCAGAATATCAGCTCCCTGCCAATGATCTTCCCTAATACCCAAATCTCTCAACGAGCTCTCTCCCTGACAACTCTCCTCCATTTCTCTTTCAATTCAGACACCCTTAACTGTTTCTGCTATTGAAAGTCTAACTCGAAAAGGTGTCCTATTCTACCCGAACCCTTATGCTTTTATATTCCTACATTGCTGCCCGTTGAATGAATTTCAGAGAATGATCTTTGAGATCCTTGATAGCCTGATTTGTGGAACCTTTCTTCAATTGTTCTACTGACCATTTATTCCATCAATTCTTTCCTTTTAATGGTCAAGCTTTCTCCTAACATTCTCCCCCTAAGCTTGTCAATGGCTCCTTTTAGCAACCTGCACTCACTCAACAAACCATAGGTGCAGCCGGTCCAAAACATTCTGTTGTTCAAGGATTATTTCCTGTTGTGCTACTAACAAGATAAACTTTTATTCAATTCAGAAGAACAATGAAGAAACTTTCAATCATTCAACTAAAAGACAACAAGACTAATAAACCAGACCCAACCCCGACTTCTCACATTTCCTACGACACGAACTACCACCACTTATTTGACTTCCAAATTTCCCAAAGTTCCTTAGAATGAATAACGAGGTGGTGATGCATAGTTAGAAACTTTGTCCTCATCACCAGAATCCGAATAAGGACTTATTGGGTCACTGATCTGATTCGACTCATACACAAACTTTGGTAACATTAAGTCCTTGTCCAATAGTAACTTCCTCTTTGGTCCACTCCTTGAACAAGCCTCTTGTTTGAATGCTGCAGCAGCTGCGTTGACTAGAGCATAAGTGGCTACCTGGGAAGGACACTGAGGGTTGCTCACTCCCCCTGAGCCAATGACAGGCTTTCAGGGCCCGACAAGAGCATCAAGACGAGCCAGAACATGCTGAGGACGCAGGTCATCCAACACGTCACACACTATAACCTTATCACGAAGGTCGATGCCAAGGCGATACAGTAAGCGTGTGATTTGGGGACCAAAAGGTAAGGGTCCACCATATGCCTCAGTCCCAAAAGGTAAGGGTCAGCTGAGTGAAGGATGTCTGTGCTTGTGAGGTCTCGAGGCAAAAACCATCGAGTAATGAAAAAATGAAGCACCTTGAGATCATCTGGCAATCTTCCAGCAGAAAGTTTTGACGGGAACCACCTTCCGATGTCATGCGCTAGGGATTCTACGACTGCATCGAAACGAAACCCAAAGCTATAGAAGTCCCTATCAGATTGAGCTCGAAAACCTTAATGAGGGAGCCCTAGAACAGATGCAAGAAGATCTGGAGTGACCTTGATCTCATAATCATACACTAGTGTGGTGAAGAAGAGAGGATCACTCCCAGGTCCACGACGCAGGTTAACAAAGAATAACCTGATGGCTTCGGGACATTGACTGAATCTCAGATTCTCAACCAGAGATTCCCATCCCAGCCCTCGAAGATAAGCAGGAATATCCATGTCGTACTTTGAAAAAGTAGCAGGCTGAATGGAAAAGGATGGATTCAGAGGGCGGTCGGGAAACCGACAAAGATAACGAGAGTAGGTTGCAGCATTGCGAAAACTCTGGTTCTTGAAAAGAACAGCAGAGTGCAGTTGAACATTGTTTAGCACCATTGGATCGTTTGAGAGTGAGATAGTGTTTTTGAGAGCAGGGGGAATAACTAGAGTGAGAGGCAGTCTATGAGACAGAGGAGACGAAGAGTTACCCTAGTTTTTATACCCTCTGGACATAGCAGGACGAGACTTTTCAAGGACTAAAAAGAGACACTTTTGTTAATCATGGCAAGAAGATATTTTGAGAAACAATTATTCTTTAGTGAATCAATTTCTTGCTGAGAAAACATACCAAGTTCATTTCGAATAGGTATGAATTTATCTGCTCCTAAAGGCTTAGTAAATATATCCGCCCACTGCATATCTGTACTATTTCGAATAGGTATGAATTTATCTGCTCCTAAAGGTTTAGTAAATATATCCGCCCACTGCATATATGTGCTAATAAATTCTAAATGGACTTTCCCTTCTTGCACTAAATCACGAATGAAGTGATAACACACTTCAATGTGTTTTGTGCGAGAATGTTGAATAGGGTTTTTTGTCATATTAATAGCGCTTGTGTTGTCACACAACACAGGAAGAGACCCTACTTCTAATCCATAATCCTGAAGTTGATACTTAAGCCACAGTAACTAAGTACAACTTAATCCTGCAGTTATGTATTCAGCTTCTGCAGTTGACAAAGCACCTGAATTTTGTTTCTTACTAGCCCATGAAATTAGTGACGTGCCTAGAAAGTGGCACGTTCCATATGTAATTTTCCTATCAATTTCACACCCAGCATAATCAGAATCACTATAACTTATCAACTCAAGACTCGATTTGTACGAGTACCATAAACCAAGATGCTGAGTTGCAGATAAATATCGAAAAATTCTTTTTACTGCTGACAAGTGACTGACTTTTGGACTACTTTGAAACGTAGCACACACACACACACACGCTAAACATGATATCTGGGCGACTCGCGGTTAAGTAAAGCAGAGATCCAATCATCCCCCTATATTGTTTCTCATACAGGCTCACCTAATTCATCGATTGACAACTTTACAGAAGATCCCATAGGTGTAATAGCCAATTTTAAGTTTTTCAAATCAAATCTTTCTAGCATGTTAACAAGATATTTAGATTGTGTAATAAAAGTACCCATCTTTGTTCGTTGAACCTGTAATCCTAAGAAATATGTCAATTCACCCATAAGACTCATTTCAAACGCACCTTTCATTGCAGACTCAAAGTCTTTGCACAAATTTTGACTTGATGAACCAAATATTATGTCATCCACGTATACTTGAACAAGTAAGGTGTGGCCATTAACATTTTTTATAAACATAGTTTTATCAACAGATCCTCCATGAAACCCATCAGTAATTAAAAAATTACTTAATTTCTCATACTAGGCTCTAGGAGCTTGTTTTAGTCCATATATTGCTTTGTTTAACCTATACACATGATTAGGAAACTTGTGGTTTTCAAATCCAGGGGGCTGAGCCACATAAACTTCTTCTTTTAAATCCCCATTCAAAAATGCGCTTTTGACATCCATCTGATACAGTTTAAAACCTTTTGAAGTTGCATATGCACATAACAATCTTATTGCCTCTAACCTAGCTACAGGCGCAAAAGATTCGTCAAAATCAATCCCTTCCTCTTGATCATATCCTTGTGCAACCAGTCTAGATTTGTTCCTAGTTATATCTCCAACTTCATCAGTTTTATTTTTGTAAACCAATTTGTTCCTATAATTGGTTTATCCTCTGGTTTTGGAACTAATTCCCAAACATTCAATCTTTCAAAATAACCTATTTCATCTTGCATAGATGCAGTCCAGAATTCATCATTCAGAGCTTCACAAATATTTCTAGGTTCTATTAAAGACACAAACGCAGTATGTACATGATGCATTTGGGATCGAGTAACCATACCGTGTCCCATGTTCGCAATGATTTGAGAAGATGGATGTCGTTTCTGTATATATGGTGGTGTTTCCTTCGTCCCAACCTGATCACTCTGTTCAACTGGTTCTGCCTCTGATGTATTTTCCCTTTCCAGCCTGTTTTCCTCAGGTCTGATTTCTTGATATGACCTTCCTAATCCGAGATCATCATCCTCTTCGATCTGTGCGACACACTTTCTAGGAGAATCGTCAAAAACCACATTAATGGACTCCTCTACTTTGAGGGTCCTTTTATTATATATCCTGTAAGCTTTACTATGTTCAGAGTATCCCAGAAATATTGCCTCGTCAAACTTGGAATCAAACTTCCCTAACTTATCTTTAGTATTCAAAGCAAAACACCTACACCCAAAGGGATGAAAGTAGCCTAAATTTGGCTTCCTATCCTTCCATAGCTCATAAGGTGTTTTATTCAGTTTAGAACGAATTAAGGCTCTGTTTATAGTATAGCATGCTGTGTTTATAGCTTCTGCCCAAAATTGTTTTGGCACTCCATAATCATTGATCATTGTCCTCGCAATGTCTATCAAAGTTCGGTTTTTTCTTTCCACGACTTCATTTTGCTGAGGTGTCCTAGGAGTAGAGAAGTTATGACTTATACCAGACTCCTCACAAAACTTGTCAAACTCATCAGATATGAATTCACCTCCTTGATCACTCCTAATGTTTACAACCTTAGTCTCCTTTTCATTTTCTAGATGTTTGACTAACTTTCTAAACTTAAGGAATGTCTCTCCTTTATTTGAGAGAAACATTACCCAGGTAAATCTTGAAAAATCATCTACTACCACACAGGCATAGTATTTCCACCCAAACTCATTACATTGCAAGGACCAAACAGATCTAAATGAAGTAATTCCAACGATCTTGTTGTTGAAATAACATTCTTACTCTTAAAGGAAGATCTAACCCGTTTTCCCTTTGTATAGGCTTCACAAAAGAACTCCTTTCTGCTATTTATCCTAGGTATTCCAGTGACAATGTTCAGACTAACTAGTTTTGCTAGAGATCCTACACTGATGTGACCTAGCTTCCTATGCCATTCTAGTTGATCATTTTTGTCCATAGACATCAAACACATTTCATTAAAATCATTCTTATCATTTAGATTTATACAGAACAGTTTCCCTTTTCTTTTACCAGTGAACACAATTTTCTTTGTTTCAATGTTTTCAACATAGCATTTGTTCGGTTCAAAAATGACTCTGTTTGTGTAATATCCCACCCTCACGAATCGCTTAATACGTAAATCTTGTAGGTTATAATTCAAGTGTTGGTCACAGTTTCTATTCGTTCATAGGGTTAATGAGATGAATGTAAAACATGTAGAGTACATCTTCATATAGCTAAACTCAGCATGATAAGTTCTATAATTCCAAACCCATCCAAGTTAGCCAAACCCGCCCACTCCTGGCGGTTGAGCAAAGGAACCGATACCACTAGGTTCATGAACCTTTGAGTAGCTGTTTTGACTTGTATCTTTAAATGAGAAGTTATATTTCCCACACATGAGCAGTAGAGCACACGTGGTTAGAGGGTTTTCTTTGGCTTGGGAAATAAATGGTATGGGATAAATGCTTTCCCTAGGAACCGAGGAGATAAAGAGACTTTCCACCACTTCATATCTCTGGAGGCAAGTGAGGATAAAAGAACCAAAACCATTCCCATCACTACACCGCCATCATCAACCAGCCTCCTCACCATTACCACCTTTATCTCTACAATTGCTTTGGAGAAAGTACATGTAGCTAGGTGACCGATTCTAAAAGGGGAGAGTAACCAGTTCCTTCTTGAGAGATAGCCACCAGTAATGAGTCCCTCTCATCAATATCACCACCATCGTTTCTTTTAGAGCTCAGCTAGGCAAGGGGAATAACAAGGGGTTGGTGGTCATATAAGGTATGGTGATCCCTTTTCTTAGTTAATTTATTTAAGGTGGATGATGAAGAGATGATACTGGTGCTTAGAGATCATTTTCTTGAGGGAAACTAACTATAATTTGTCCTTGAATCTTGTTATGCATGCTGAAACCAGCCCAAAGTTTGCATGCATGATTCTTTACTTGGATTAAATAAGCATTTGTAGGGATTCTAAAATGCATCCCATGACCAGTAAAGAACCGAGTAGTCATATGCATGTACATGTGGTCATTTTGGGGTCCAAATGGGTGACGAGAGTGGGGAAATGGTGTTAGTAGGCGTGATTGCCCACCTGTGTTAAAGTAGAGGGACTTATCCTGAAAAGTGTGGGTAAGAAGAGATTAATTGGGAAGATGAGAAGGAATGAGTTGCATGGGAAAGCTAGAAATTTAAACGAATCTCAATTGGTGGGTGGTCATTAAGTTAGAGAAAATGGGTTTCAGTTTGTGGGAAACATAAACTTTGGTGGGATGGAAATATATGAAAATAGAAGTATATTACTTATACATGGTTGTTTATGTGTGGTACGAGACCTTGATTGATTGGGATTGGGAGTTTTTTGTCCCATATGATATGGAATTAAAGAAAGTATAAAGATAATTAAGCAATTGAGATGATTGTGTATAGCATCAATGAGTATATGATATGATATGTGTGCCTACGGGCTTATGACGTGCTTTACATGAGTATTGTCTAACCCATGAACTACGTGATCACCTAATAAAAACATAATGGCGCCTTGTTATGCACTCATGAAAAGAAAAAGAGAAGAAAAGAGTTATACGAGAACTCCCTATAAGGATTATCGCCAGGCCTGGCTACGAGTTCACGAGATATGTCACTTCGTGCCCACGAGATTACAAGTTCATGAGATATGGCACTTTGTGCCCACGAGTTTATGAGATTTGGCACTTTGTGCCTACGAGATTACGAGATCACGAGATTATGAGTTCACGAGATCCCGGGGAGTGCATAACTTGGCATTAAAAGTAAAATGTACATAATTTAGCTAACTATGCTTGTGTTTGAGCCTTTTTACAAGGATTTTCTGTAATGTGGTTACGTGAAGTTTCCTACGATGAGTTCAATAGATTGTTCTTGAGATTGACGTATTTATATGAAGGCTTTACTGTGATGTGTTCATGCAATGATTCATTATGAGATTGTGTAGTTGTTACATGCCTCCATATGTTGTTGATTATATGGTGATACCCAAATGATGTGTTAGTGAATGTTTTTTTTTCTGGATAGGGTTTGATATGAGTAACTCAAGGGCGAGTGTGTATGATATGAGAACTGCTTAGATTGGTTAATGAACCTTGCATACATAGTTGGGTAAAGTACCATTTAAGCTACTAGATTCTTTCAGTGAACTTAAGCCCTTGGTGTACCTGATCACCGTGCGCAACTGGAGTATATATTGGGTTATTGATTACTGATTGAGTGGCGTCTCACCCCCGCCAATATTTTTCTCTTTCAGAGCCAAAGCAACAACAGAAGCCTCGGTCGAACCAGTGAAGTCAGCCGGATGGCTGAAAGGTGTGCGGCGGAACTGAACTCTCCACATGTTTTCACTTTTGAAGTCGAACTAAATGTTTTAACGCTTTTAAGTTTTTGTACCCACAAAATGTTAAACTACTATGTTGGGTTTGTACTTTGTTTTAAACTCAAACTTTGCATCGTTCGGTGTTGTGCTTTTGGATGCTTTGGGAAAACTAGCTTGAATTTCCTAAGCAAGTGATGTAAACCGTATGCTAGTGTTATGTCCAAGTCTTAATGTGAAGTTAAAACCTATGGTTTAATGAGTATATAATATGATGATGGTTCCAATAGTACGAGAAGAAGTAGTAGGATGTTACAAGAAGTAGTAGGGTGTTACAATTTTTGGTATCAGAGCTGGGATGTGATCCCACGGGATTAAAGTGATTTTAATGAAGTTTTGAATGGGTTTATAATGGATTTTAAGTTGAAAATGTATTTAAGAAATTGTTTTTGATTTTGCTCTCCTTGTCGTTTTCATGTGGAGTTCAGTCAAGGAGGAAGAGAGCGTTCCCCGCCACCTCAAGTAGCAGGTCCAAATCAGCCTATTCCCGAAAATCAAGCTGAGCCTCAGGCTAATAACCTACCTCAGGTAGTTCCCTATAAAAGGGATTATACTGAGGTGTGGAAGATGGGTGCTGAGGCCTTTACGGGTTCTATAGATCCCAAAGTGGCTGTAGATTGGCTGAAAAAGACCGAGCGCATTCTCAATCAAATTGGGTGTCCTGATGACGTCAAGTTTGATTATGTTGTAGCTCTCCTCGAAAAAGATGCTTATGAGAACAAGCCTCGTACTCAAAGTTACGGGATCGAAGATAGGAAACGGAAGTGGAAGGGGTCATCCTCAGCAGGTCAAAGTCGAGTTTCTAGCTGGGGTCCTAGTAAGGGGAACTTTACTCAGCGTCCTCGAGTAAGTTTCCCTAGGGCGCCTGCTTACCAAACCCAGATGAATGCACCTTCACCACCTGAATGTCAACATTGTGGAAGGATGCACCAGGGAGAGTGTCGGATCGTGACGGGTGCTTGTTTCAAATGTGGTGGTTTTGGGCATCTCATTAAAGATTGTCCAACTTGGGGAGATACAGTGCCGGTTCGGTCCCAAACTACTATGCAGGGATCCCGAGTGGCCAGTAACTTCTCAAGGGAAAATTTTAGAGGTGGATCTAGTAGGGGAGGAGGACGTGGTTCTGAGGTCAGAGGGCATACAGTTGGTCAAACAGGCAGAGCTGATATACAACCACAAGCATTTGCTATGACAAGAACAGGGGCGAATGTATCTCCAGAAGTGGTTACCGGTATGGTTCTCATCCATGATAAACCCATTTATGCCTTAATTGATCCTGGGTCTACTCACTCATTCGTGTCTCATAAATTTTCACAACGTATGCATGCTCGACCTGAACTATTGTCTAGTAACATATTTGTGAAAACCCCCGTTGGTGATACTATTGTGGTCAATCATGTTTATGTTGGTTGTCCTATGATTGTATCTGGAGTAACGTTGCTTGCTGACTTGATGATACTTCCAATTGATGAATTCGATGTGATACTGGGAATGGATTGGTTGAGTCGACATAGGGCTGTAGTAAATTGTCACACAAAAGAAGTGGTATTTGAGGTACCCGAGCAAGGAAGTGTTGTCTTTAGTGGAATTAGGCAAGCAGTACCTAGTTGCCTAATATCTACTTCCAAGGTGTTGAGCTTAATTAAGGAGGGGTGTGTGGCCTTCCTTGCCCATGTAGTAGAGGTTAAAGAAGAGAAAGATCCAAAAGATGTAGAAGTAGTGAATGAATTCCTGGATGTGTTTCCATCCGACCTACCAGGACTACCTCCTGATCGGGAGGTAGAATTCACTATCGAATTGCTACCGGGCACCGCACCTATTTCTATACCACCGTATAGGATGGCGCCTGTGGAGTTGAAGGAGCTGAAAGAGCAACTTCAAGAGTTGCTAGATAAGGGATTCATAAGACCAAGTGTGTCACCGTGGGGTGCTCCCGTACTCTTTGTGAAGAAGAAGGATGGAACCCTACGGTTATGCATCGATTACCGAAGGATTAACAAGGTGACTGTGAAGAATAAATATCCTTTGCCCCGTATTGATGATTTATTCGACCAACTGCAAGGGTCAAAAGTCTTCTCCAAAATTGACCTAAGGTCGGGATATCATCAATTAAAGGTGGCAGAGGAAGCCATACCTAAAACGGCTTTTCGTACGAGGTATGGGCATTACGAATTTCTTGTTATGCCATTTGGACTAACGAATGCTCCAGCTGCTTTTATGGCGTTGATGAACAAGGTCTTCCAAGAGTACCTAGATAAGTTTGTGATAGTTTTCATTGACGATATCTTGGTGTACTCTCGAAGTGAAGAAGAGCATAGGGAGCATTTGAGGATAATCCTTCAAATCTTGAGGGAAAAGCAGTTGTATGCTAAATTTAGCAAGTGTGACTTCTGGATGGATCAAGTTATATTTCTGGGACATATTGTTTCCGGAAGGGGAATTGAAGTTGATCCGAAGAAGGTGGAAGCCGTGGTGAAGTGGGAACCACCGAGGAGTGTACCCGAGTTGCGAAGTTTCTTGGGAATGGCAGGTTATTACAGAAGGTTCATCGAGGGATTTTCTATCATTGCCTCGCCATTGACAAAATTGTTGAGGAAAGATCATCCTTATGTGTGGAATTCTGAATGCCAAGCCAGTTTTGAGGAACTAAAGACGAAACTCACAACTGCACCTGTCTTGGCACTACCAGCAGGGGCAGGTGGTTTTGTGGTTTATAGTGACGCCTCGCATCAAGGCTTGGGGTGTGTTCTAATGCAGAATGGGAAGGTGATTTCTTATGCCTCAAGACAATTGAGTCCATATGAAAAATCCTACCCTAACCACGACCTCGAATTGGCGGCAGTGGTTTTTGCTCTAAAAATTTGGAGACACTACTTGTATGGTGAAACGTTCCAAATCTTCACTGACCACAAGAGTCTGAAGTACCTGATGGAGCAAAAAGAGTTGAACCTGAGGCAAAAAAGATGGGTGGAATTGTTGAAAGATTATGACTGTACTATTGAGTACCATCCGGGTAAAGCCAATGTTGTAGCAGATGCTTTAAGCCGAAAATCAAAACACTCAGATTCGCAGTCAACGTTAAATCCCACTCGGGAAATGCTAGCATTACAGGCATTGAATGCAAATCTTAGTGTGGATAATGATGGGGTGTCATTAGCTACTCTACAAGTATGGTCAATCTTACGAGAAAGGATTCAACAAGCTCAAAATCATGATCCTTTTCTTAACAAGATAATAGAAGAGATTAAAAACGGGAAGGATGGAAAGTTTGAATTCAAGAATGAAGTCCTTTTACTAAACGGTAGATTATGTGTTCCTAATGTGGATGAATTGCGTAGGGAGATCTTGGAGGAAGCTCACTCCTCTCCTTATGCGATGCATCCTGGTGCAACAAAAATGTACCGGTCATTGAGATCACATTATTGGTGGCCCGGAATGAAGAAAGAAGTGGCAGAGTATGTGTTGACATGTTTAGTATGTCAACGAGTGAAAGCTGAACACCAAGCACCTGCAGGGAAGTTACAACCATTACCCATTCCAGAATGGAAGTGGGAAAAAGTTACTATGGATTTTGTCTACGGTTTGCCTAGAACTCAAAAGAAGAATGATGCCATTTGGGTTATTGTGGATCGACTAACCAAGTCGGCTCACTTTATTCCAATAAGATGGGGGTGTTCTTTGGAGCATCTGGCAAAAAGGTATGTAGAAGAGATCGTACGATTGCATGGGGTACCTATATCTATAGTATCTGACCGAGATCCGAGGTTTACCTCGCGGTTCTGGCGAAGCCTACAAGATGCTTTGGGTACTCAATTGAACTTTTCTACTGCCTTTCATCCTCAAACCGATGGGCAATCTGAGCGTACCATACTCACCCTGGAGGAAATGTTAAGGGCTTGTGTCATGGATTTCCATGGCTCATGGGATGAACATCTACCATTGATAGAATTTGCATACAACAACCAATATCATAGTAGCCTTGGGATGGCACCATATGAAGCGTTGTATGAGAGAAAATGTAGATCTCCGGTTTGTTGGGATGAAGAGGGCTTGAGACAACTTGAAGGGCCGGAAATAGTGCAAGCTACAGTGGATAAAATTAAAGTAATTCGAAATCGGTTGAAAGCTACCCAAGATCGGCATAAAAGCTATGCCGATGCTCATCGACGAGAAATGGAGTTTAATGTAGGTGACAAGGTGTTTTTGAAAGTGTCACCGTGGAGAGGAATCTTTCTGGGGGTAAGGCTAATTTATAGGCTACTGGACCTATCTTCTCCAAAATCTCATAGGGTCCAATATACCTAGGGTTCGGCAGAAGCTTTACCCTAATATATATATATATATATAACAAAACCATTCTCACACAAAGAGTGTATGTGAGATATGGCAAAACTACAAACTTGTCCCTCAACTAAGTAAGGAGGATGGACCGTAATATCCCAACTCTCGATGTTCGGCTACCTAATAAGTTAGCTTCACTTCCCTCCCCCAGTTGACGCATACAAACAAACCCAGCTTCACGAGCTAGGATTCCTCAGACTGTTATCTTACCGACTACAGCATCTGCATATGCCTCACTAGTCCCGCCTCCAGGAATCAAGTAATTACGGTTTGTGTAGCTTTGTGGGCCTCGACACGCGTTTTTAGTACGTAAATCATATCGTGATCCATGATCGTTCGATATAAGCGGGTTGTAACCATATAAATGTTCACAAATTGAGGCAATGTACGATCTCAAAAGTCTGGTTCATACGTAGCTCCGTTATTGGGCATGTAGTGTGATTTTGGGAATGGGTTAGGGTGATTACTTGTTTTTTAGTAATTACGATGGCAACCTCTTTATATATCATTTGATTAATTATTTTTCCTTCTTTTTTAATCTTACGGTCAAGATTCTATTAGGGTAATTTTGGAAATTAAAAAGTGACCACACCTGATTATTCTATATAATCTACCTAAACCCTAGTTCTATACTCCCTCCAGTCAAACTCGTCGCAGCCGCCTCCACCTACCACTCCCGTCACACCGCCGACAGCAGCCCCGACCACCCTCGGCCACCGCCGGCAGTAGCCCCCGACCACCCTCGGTACTCTCTCTCTCTCTCTCTCTCTCTCTCTCTCTCTCTCTCTCTCTCTCTCTCTCTCTCTCTCTCTCTCTCTCTCTCTCTCTCTCTCTCTCTCTCTCTCTCTCTCTCTCTCTCTCTCTCTCTCTCTCTCTCTCTCTCCCTCCCATCACAACATACATACCAAATAGACAAATTGGTAGTTTTCGTTTATGGATTCAATGTGCAGTGGTATAGATTGTTTATATTGGTAGTTTTCCTGTAATGATATAGATTTATTTCTGCAATGGTATTGATTGTTATGGTATAGATTGTTTATATTGGTAGTTTTCGTGTAATGGTATAGATTTATTTCTACAATGGTATTGATTGTTTATGGTATAGATTGTTTATATTGGTAGTTTTCGTGTAATGGTACAAATTTATTTATGCAATGGTAGTTTTCGTGTAATGGTATAGATTTATTTCTGCAATGGTATTGATGTTTTTCAAAGTGGTAGTGTTTGTCTAATGGATTGGTACTGATTTCGTTTTTTTTTTCCAGAAAGATTGAGAAAAATATGGAAAGGAAATCTGGTTGGAGATTACGGAAGTGAGAGAGAGATAATTTTAATTAATAGATTTTTGTAACTACCTTAAATGTAATTTATTAAAAAATTAATTAATATAATTTATTTTTCCATATCCAATTTACCCTTAGTAACCACGGTGATTTTTTAGTAATCACAGTAACCTGTCCGATCTAAAAATAATGAGAGCGAATGATACTTGAACAATAATCGACCACTCGCGAAAAAATTATTTTAATTGAAGCTATGGTGACTAGCGATCGAGTTAGGTGGTGTAATACTATTTTTCTCAAGTAAGGTATTAACAAGTAGCTGGTTAATTAATAATGATGTACAGTACGTGGTCTTAATTAATTAGATATACAAGTACTCCGGCATGTGGTTTGATTATTTATAATGATTTCCCTGGAAACAGCACACGACAAGATTAATGTTGGGACGATGCTTCCTTCCCTTTGGCTTTCATGATTTAGTTCATAATTACCCAATTAGCATGATCATTTGGTATAATATTGTTATTATATATATATATGGTGTAGGCGTTATCTGTTTTATTAATTCGTAATAGATCGATCGGTTTTTCACAATCAATTATCTCCATTATTTTATAATAATTAATTAGTCAAACTGTCTCCAAACCAGTGGACAAAGATGACTAATTTTCCAATTATTTGGGCTGCTCATTCCCTTGATTCAAGTACTGTCGTCAGTAACCAATGAAATTAATTAATTAATTAAGCTAAGTCTGCCTGTGTGATTCAGGGGGAGAAGCAAAACTGCAAAGAAGAAAGGAAGAGATCACAATCAGAACAATGAATCTCTATGGGACCATGATTTATGCAGGTTACATTATTTATTGTTATTATTTATATTATTATTAATAATTTACCATTAATATTTTTGGAAGGCAAGGAATGATGAGTTAGACAATAAGTCCTTTTGCCACCATTTGAGTTATGGTCATCATTGATTGTATACATAGCAACAGAATCTCTAATCTAAAGGTCATATATATTCTGGTTTATAGTGACCATCCAATCTTATGTTTTTTTTTTTTGATAAGGGTGAGAATTGCATTAAAATAGAACCAAAACGGAACCAGTCCGAGATACAGAAAGGAAAAAGCGGCACCAGAGGTGCAGCACCCACGGAAAAGAAAAGAAAACGAAAAAAAAAAAAAAAAAAAAAAAAAAAAAAAAAAAAAAAAAAGAAACACCCGACAGCCTGAAAAGGACAGCCACGCACAGAGAGCAAAGTCCCTCACGAAACAAGGACCAAGACCAAGACCAAACTGTCAAACTAACGGGAATCAAAGCCCCATCCGACCACAACCATCACTGAGAAGAGCAGAGGAAAACAGACAGAGAGAAGAAGAAGACAGGGGCGAGGCGCGGTCAACAACCCGGCCGCCACCAGCAACCCGAACCCGAACAAGGATACCAGAGGATTCCAACTAGCCCAGCACCTGAAAGGCAGCCGACAAACACGACAACAGCCAGCGAACGAACCCACGGCAACAACCCCACCGAAAAATGCCCCTGTGTCAGTTCAGCCTCAAGGGGCGGAGCCACTCCATCACCTGAATCCTGCTGATCTTGCCTTTCGCGACTAGCCAATCCGCCGTGGATCTGATAGCAATCCAAAAGACCTCCTTGGCGCTTCTGCTAGCATCCTGGAAAACACGCCTATTCCTCTCGAGCCAAATTTGCCAGCACACGGCGTGGAGAATGCAGAAGCCGATCCAGTCCGTCGTAGTGTCCGGAACGTCACTCTTCCAACACTTGATGGTGTCTAGGATCTGCTCTTGTGGGGCGAAGGAATCACCACACATTCTTCTTACTTCAGTCCAGATCTCCAACCCGAACTCGCACCGAGTAAACAAATGATCAACCGATTCTTCATCCCTACAACACATACAACATCTGTTAGCAATGGAGCAGCCCCTCTGTTGAATTTTGTCCATCGTCAATATCCTCTTGTGCGCGACCATCCACATGAACGCATTGATTTTCGAAGGAATGCTCTTTCTCCACACGGATCTTATGTTAGTCTAATGATACAAAAGCATAAGGTACGATGTGCAAATTTTAACATCAATTTAGTTTTGTTTGAGTACCTTAGATAAAGTCCTTTAAACAGTATGTCTGAATTATTCATATCCATATATATATATGTGGATATACTTGTTCTCCATCAATTGCTATCGTACACAGTCAACGAATGTGTAACATACTATCCGCAACAGTCAAGGAACACATCGTCGGGACCTTAATTACCACCACCACCACGTGTCTCCACTTACCTAAGGACACCTGTCATGCAATCCGACAACCATTAGCTCAGCTGATGATAAGTTGGGATGTCCTAATTAACACTCCTCTACTCTAGGCATTATTACCCGGGTACTACATGATCTAATTAATATCTATGCTGAGTCCTGACGAGGAGAAGATTATCAGTTTGGGCAGAAACAAATGCCAACAGTTTGTTTGTTGTCACCACTGGTCTTGCCGTCGTATCGTATCATGTGTTTCTCTAAACAGCAGCGGGCAGGGTTTGGAAAACTGTCCATCTCATCTCAAATCCATAAATGGCCTCACATGGGAATTCTATTACCACTGTGGCCAAGATAATAATAGTGGTAAACGTCCTTAATCCCTAAGTACATCACAGCTGTGGGTGGTTAACACGGATTATGGGATCGCTCGACATAAAAAGCAGCAAATGGTAATGTTCCATTTGAGGATAGAATTAGAATAGAATGGCACAATACAGAGCACATAATTTATTCATAGACTCGCCCACCTGAATACAGATACATATGCCTTTGTTTCTCGCAGATGCTAATTGATTGGGACCAAAGCCCAAACCCCAACATGAATGATAACAGCAAATGTGATCGTGATGCCATCTAACTTTGTTGCAATTGCACGAGAGATCTCTTCTTGAGATTGTTTAATCCACATCATATATCGAAACGAGTAGGTTATTGACACGATATCAAAGTTTGATAACTACCATCAATATTTACGATTACTTTAAAGTACAAGCTATGAAGGTACGTGGTCAATTTTACTTCATAAGCTATATTATTTGGGAATTACTAGTGCAATGCACTGATAACAATTTGATTTAGGACAAATTGGTAATCACCATAAGTCCATCGTGTTAGAACTTTGGACGTAAAGACATCTACATGTCAATGTTAACTTAACTTCAACAATTTTGATCGAAAGAACTTGTAAGCAGATATGCAAGATTCACGCTATTTTGGGGTCGTGTTGTGCCCTCCCCAATCTCTTTTAACTATTTAAGAGTTTCGAATTTACAAACGATTCATCGGTCCCTTTCGTTGCTGAAAGGGAGGGGATGTAGCCTACCCATGTAAGTTGTCAAATCGTTGGGAGAAAGGCTTCTCTTTTCGGGTAGACAATGGTGGTGAAAGCTGCCTACAGAAGATCCAGAAAGGGACAGCTTAACCTACCTGTGTGGGTTCCAGTATTCCGACGGTGATGAAGAAGACGCATTCATGATTCATTCGTGCCCTTAAACCCAAATGCCACAACTCCACTGATCGGCTCGTCGATCATCAGTTACTTGCGTCGGTTACTTGCATTCACGATAGTCAGTAAAACGAACGTTTACATTTGATTTTTAACAGATCGTTCGTGACAGAAGACGAAGAAAAGTAGACAACATCCACGAGAGTTAAAATGTAGACTTGCACAAGCATCGCTGCTATATTAGCAACCGAGATGCAATAGAGGTTCACATTGCATGCAGAAGAACCAGATATTAAAACAGTCTTATCAGTGATTATTAGAAAACTTGCTAGTACAGAAAATTCAATACGTCGGAGCTATCTAGTTTGGCAGACATACAACGTTCAAAAATATATCAAACATCATCCCGATGGGGAATCTACTGGATGCGGATTGGAATAAACAAGAAATCCACTTCGATAAGCACCTGAAGTACTGAGCAGCTTATGGAATTGTACGCTGGTAGAGAGGTAGAGCTCCGAGAGCCTCCCGTTCTGCATTCTCCTTCTTCACCTGTAAACAAATTCCACATTGTACTATTTAGTTTCAGAATACCAACCAAATACTGAGGCCGACAGCCAAGCAAGCAACTAATACTGTTCTTAGCTATGCGTCACACTTCTGCTCTACAACTGCAAGGTGCAAATGCTGATATGCATTCTAGAGGTACACTGATGAACCCTAGTTATAAAGAAGGGGGATTCAATTATTACGCTTTGACAATGAATAGCCTATTTGCTGGGTATTTACCATTCACAACATGTACCAGCTGAAAAGTGAGATGTTTACACATTCAAGGGACATGCTTTCAACATAAAAGCTGAGAGCCGAGATAATAAGTGAGGGGCACATAGGTTAAGGGGCATGACTCATAACAGTAGAGATTACCGGATAAGCCAACACTAAATCAGAAGCATATGCTACAGTATCTAAGCCAAAATAAAAAAACCATAATGATGCCTCAACATACAAATAAGGGAAGGTACAGGTCAGCAAATTGCAATGCAAGTTACCTGCAGATGTAGACTACACTACACAGTAAAGACATGTTTCCATGGCCCATCACCCACAGCTACCCAATCAGTAACACAAACCTACTGCAAATCTTAAATTCGTATGTCAATGGTACATGAGTTCCAAAGGACCGAACTCTCATCTAATACCTAACTCCAAAATTTAACCAAGGAGTAAAATGCTAAAAGGCAAGGTCTGACTTTATCAATAGCACTGCACAAACAGGAAAGGTGAAGACTTCACCAAAAAACTAGAAGGAACAGGAAAATTTAAAACTAAGCTATTCTCTTGATGACAGTATGGAGAAATTCAAAATCTGTTCCACCATAGCCCAATAAACCAATAAACGCTGATAAACATAGCAAAATTTGGCCAACACTAACAATGTTTTGAGTAAATAAAAAACCAGACCAGCAGTGAAAACGCTCAAATCGCATGGGAAAGACAGCAGCTGAATTTCGTAGAAGACAACTTACCAGAGCCAGCATGTCCTTGAGGTAGCTCCTGAATGGTGTTTGCATTGCCTGCAAGATATTGAGAACACATGATTAGCATGTTACGAATTCACCGATACTTTGTCCACAAGAAGTAGAGTCCAACAGAAAGAGAAGGCCTATGCGACTATATTAAGTATCAGGCAACATCAGACACCCAAGTGGTGCACCGTACATGGCCCATCCCACAGCTTCTCTAAGCCTGAAAAAAACTGCTGACTACTCTGAAATTTGTGTCGTCTTATTTCACATTTCACTGTCATGATAATTTGGATCGGAACTCACTATTAGCAACAAGGACACATCAAATAACACGATTTCAAAGATTGCAATACTGCAACATCCGCAATGATGTCAGCGCCTTTGAGCACTTGAATCAACCTAAATGCATGAGTGAATAAGAATTCGCTAGCCCTCTTAAAGGGGGTGCTAATCCCAATGATTTCGAGAAATGAGATTTAATCTCAACAGAGCCCTTTCAATAGCAAATTCGGCATATACTACGGATCAGAATTTCCCTGAGACATTAGATGGCAAGATAAGCAGGAAATGAGAGATTGAGATCAACTACTCATGCCTGAAGGTCCGCCGGAAGATACTCGTGCTTCATGGAGAGGTCCATGGCGCGCTTGAGACGCTGGTTTCGAGCGTCGACGATCTCCCTAGGAAGCCTGTTAAGCGCCTCCTTCACGTCCAAATCGAAGTAAGGGTCGTACAGATCGTCATATCGGAGACCTAATCAATCAATTGACACAAACGGTAAGACACCGGGAAAAAAAAGAGGGAAAGCAAAAATTAGGGTTTCGAGAAGAAAAAAGCTAACCGTATTTCTTTAGGCGGTTCGAGATAGCGTTCATGTGCTGCCTCGCGAACCAGTTCTTTCGTGGATCCAGAAAGGATTGCAAGAAAGTAGACATTGTTCCTTTGCAGTTATCGGCTCCTGCTCGCCCTTTCCCCTTCTTCGACTGCTCTCCGATCTCGCTTTCTGAATCTCTACTAATCTCTTCGACTGGTGTGTTTTTCTTGAAGAATCGTTAGTCGTGACGCGAGTTTTCGGGACAAATATTTGGGTTTTGCCGGGCAGGCCGGACGTGTTCGATTTTGATGGGCTACTTTTGGGCTTTCTGCAGAAACTCAATAGTCCCGGTTATCGGCCGTCGACCCAACAACTTCAATATTTGTGGGCTAAAGATGATTTGGGCTGATTTTGTGGAAATTTATATTTTTGGGAAATACTATTTAGATAAATACAATTTAATATCCAAAACTTTCATTTTAAACAATATAATATCTAAATTTTTTTCGAAAATAATTTAATATTCAAATCATCAACTTTTCGTTCGTTTGACCGACTCTGACGTGGTAAGTGATTGTACACGTCACCTGAGTTTTGATGAAGTGGCAACTAAAAAAATTAGGGACTATTTATTAATTTAAAAAGGGGAAAAGGAGAGCATCTGTCGGCCTATTCTCTTCATTTTAATCAACTTCATCTCTCTCCCTCTCCCTCTTTCGAAACCCTTCTCTTTTCCGGCGAAACCAAGCCCTGTCGCCCACCTCAAAACCAAATCCAGCATGCCAAAAGAGAGCGCCGACTTCCTCCCTCCTCGTGTAAGATTCGCAAAACGCGAGTTTGTCTGTGAGAGACGACGAAGTATTGGCGAAGTAGACTATGGAGCTTTTGCGAAGGAACATGTCTGCGAGGGACGGTTCTTCATCTTCGACCAACACAAATCACGATTCAAGATCTATATACCACGATTGTCCATGTATTTTGCAAGTGTCTGGTACCAATAAGAATCTGGGAAGAAAGTTTTACTGTTGCCGATATTGGAAGGTATAAATTTGTTTGGATGGTAGGCTTTCTGATTTATCTCTTGTACATGTTTGACGAGCTCTTTTTTGTAGGATTCGAATGCAAAGTGCAAGTTTTTCGTGTGGGTTGATGAGTACCAACCTAAAGTTTGGAAGGAAGCTGAAGACGAGCTGAAGACGAGCTGAAGACCAAACTGATCGAAATGGAAGACAGTTGTATGCTTGCTCGAATGAAGGCAGAAAGAAGGAAAAAGGCAAAAAAAAATGCTATTA